AGCAATTCTTGCAGTGTAGAAGAGCATGAGTGCCCCCTGGTGGTGAGACGAAGCAGTACATTATCAGACACGAGGAAACTAAACCAAATAACAAAAAGTGGTAGAACTTATGTGGAAAATGCATTTTTACCATTGTGAGAAAGATGATTTGAAGACAGCAATATGTCAAATAAGGTCATAAAATGTGTGATCCCGACTGATTGCAATTTTCACTTCAATGTTATTTTATCTAATTTATTCAAAGATCCAAGGACATTATTGACTACTAAAAGACAGAATCACAATCTTGATTAAAAGTAGTCTACTTCTACAGCGCTACTATTGAATATGATGTGATTTGAATATGATTTTGTGGTCATACAGTGTAGCTTTATAATAATACATCAGACTTATATGGTGCTTTTTTGGACTCTCAAAGATTGAAGTGAGTGAGATTTTAGTTGAGATTTGAAGTGCTGCAGGGAGTTTGAGTTCCTGATGGATTGTGGGAGTGAGTTAGTGAGGCTGGCGCCACCTAGTGCCTCCAAGTGATTTCATTTCTCTCCAGCGACTAGGTCAGGAATCGGAATACACTAAACTGGATGCAAGAATCATGGAAGTGCGAGTTCGGGCACCAGCCAATCAGCGAAGAGCCATACATTTTGTGTTGGCAACGATTCCCGAGATGGTGGATTTAAAGCCCAGAACTTAGAGAATGTTTGGTGAATTTTATCAAGGGGAAAGACGTTATTGCTCTTCTTCGTACGGGATTTGGAGCATTACATACGTCACGACCAAATAGCAGTGATTGGTTAAATAAAGAAAGTACCTGCCTACTGTTGAGCGAGGTCAGACGGAGGTCAGACAGTTTCCACAAAGAGAAACAGGCTGATTGAAGGCTAGGAGTGAGTTCCAGAGAGAGATAGAGAATAGAGATTGTGTAATTTTAATACTCACATTTGGGAACTTCTTGGCATAAGGTTCGAGCAAAGCTTCAGATTCAGTGAGGTTGCCTTCACCAGTCCCTGCACAGGAGACATTATTATTATTATTCTGTATCATTAAGTTTAGGTCAAAACTACCCAGAGAGCCTCATACCTAGAATAACAGTGATGTACAGGTGAAACATCATGAGTGTGAGGGTGCAGAGGATGGAGCGCAGGCTGTTACTGGCCGCGCCCTCCCTCAGCTCTGATAAACCAAGCTCCTGAGAAGAGACAAAAAAGAAATTCCCTGTCCTATATTATGCAAAATTGACTCTAGTGAGCTTTTAGCAATGCTTTAATGTTGTTACGTCATCAAAAACATACTTAAGAGTTGGATTTTGTTTCATTAAGCGGTAGTTTTCATGTTAACACCTTTTATGTTTTGAGGGCTGAAATTATCCAAATGATTCTAGTAAAGGTATATGAAGTTTAGTATGAGTATTTTCTGCCTAAATATACAGGATTTATGTGTTAAACATGTGAATGAAACAAAACACAACTCCAGGTGTTTGTGATGAGGACACATCTTTATAACAGATCTGAAAACTGTGTAATATCAACCCTTAAAAAGTAAAAATTTTCTTATTATGGTTAAAGCAAACAGGAAGCAAATACCCGGTCTCCAGAGAATCCCAGAAACTCCATCAGCCTGAGGACTCGAGATGGGAGCAAAGACAGCATCTGAAGAAGACATGTGGGGAGGAGAGGACTGATAATATGGTCAAACTTCAAAAAGAAATAAAATGAAAGCTTGGTAGCAGCAAATGATCTTACCAGGTTAAAAGAGCCGATGCCCATACTGACACCACTCTTAAAATGGACAAGAGTACCAAGATCTTCCTCTTTTCTGGAGCTTATCATGACCTGACATTCCCTAAAGAGGAGTATAGCACAAATGGTTACTTGTAAGTTCAACTGTGAATTGGAGTTGGCTTTAAAATGACTGAAAGAACCACTCACTTATAAATCTGATAACTGTTGCGTATCCTCATGCCGCCTTTGATGAATCCGATTATACTCTCGTCTAAAAAGGTCAGAGCGGCCTTCTGGAGCAGAACCTCGGCGTAACACAGCTCGGCGTGCATCTCCTCTGAGAATCATGTGCAAACTGTGAAATGACTTTTTTTGTACTTTTAAAAATGTCCATCATGCAATAAAAGCATTCCCTCTCCTTCTTTATTTATACATAGTTATATGTAAACATTAATATATTCATAGCTACAAACTGTCACATAACTTTGAGAACGCTGAGAAGAGCAAAATAGCAAAAGAGAAATTCAATTCTGTCAACTGGACAATAGTTTTTTGATTGAATACATCTCACAGCTTGGATGAGTTGCGAAACATTCAATTAAAAAACGTTTGTTTCGTTGACAGAATTGAATTTCTCCTTTGCTGTGGATCCTTCCGTATGAGGAATTACACAAACAATGCTGAGGATAAAGATTAGAATACTTGATAAACATGCACAGTCATCATTACAAGTTACCTTCTGTAAAGTTGTCAGAAGTTTGTCTGTACAAAAAACTTGTGAGGGTCTCAACTAATCCTGTTTTCCTCCTGAAACTAAATCAGAGAACAATAAAACAATGTAAAACTACGATTGTTTTGGGTGGGGACCCTACAGTCTGTGTGGGAGACTTACCGCTGACATGTCTGCAGAGCGTCTCTCAAAGCTGTCATGGCAGCATCCATGTCTTTGGGGTCAAAGGTCATGCCCGCCTGCATCACCAGGATGCTGCTGTAGCCCATGGCATGATACATGCTCTGGTCTTTCCTAAAAGAAAACATGATTCCAGTCTGTTCCTATTTTAAACATTAAAGCATGATCAAATGTGGACTTGCCATGGTTTTAAAAGAGCCAGAGCATCAGCAAAGCGGTTGTTGAGGAAGTATTCCAAGGCAGTGGAGCATTCCTTCAGTGCAGTCTCCAAGTTCATTTGTGTTATTCTAAAAAATAAGTAAATAAATATATATTTTCTGCAGGCAGACCTTCATGAATGACCTAATGATATGACTTACTTTTCATTTTCAGTATTTGTAAGGTCTACCTGAAAACAAAACAAAACATCAAAAGAGTACATTAACAAAAGTCACATATTTAAAGTGAAAACTGAATAAATTATACTGATACATACAAACATACTACATACTACTACTCCCAGCATAATGGGCTTTCCTGATCTGACACATGCACACACACTCTTACCTGCTCTAATGTCTCCACTTTAGTCTCCATGTGTGACAGACGTCTTCTTCTTTAAAACACTGGGAGAAAAAGTTTGCTGTCCCTTAATATTCTCCAAAGCCTCCGTTTCTTTGAGAAGAAGAGAGACACGAGGGTAGCAGCGACATTTATGAGGTGAAATCTCGGGAGTGGCCTAAAGTTGAGCAGCCAGCCCTCTCGTCTTTGCCTTTCAAAACAGAGATTCTTTGTGAATTATCGGAATAACAGTGTTTCAGTCAAACACCCCTGACACTACGTCTCACAGACCATTCACTGCAATTTGTGATGCAGGTTTGTCATGGTGCAGGCGAGTTAAGCGTAACGCAATAATAATAATCAAGTTTGTCACTGAATTTAAAATACAGGATAAAAAGTTGGATTATGTGAGACGTGCCCCGAGCTAGACGTACATAAAATCCATTATTTGGTAAAACCTGACTTTTAATTTCGTTCAGCTGGTAGTCATAATCCCATTCTTTAGCGACACCTAGTGGCCAATTGACGTATAACAACTCTCAAATGGCATGCAACTGTGTCTACTGCTTGAATAGATGGACAAATTTAATAACATTTGTTATTTCAACAGTGTTGGAAGAATTAAAAAAATTAAAGTCAGTGTTTTCAGCAACTCTTACACTGTGATAAAAAAAAAAAAAAAAAAACTTATACTTTTCAGTCTCATTCAAAAATGTAGTGGAGTAGAATGTAGGCTACAGATACAGAAGTAAAAATAAAAAAAAGTATCCATTATAAAATCTACTTGTAAATGTATATTTAATTTAGAGTAACCAGATTTTCAAAATAAAATAAAATAAACTGGGACATCCTTAGCTTGGAGTGGTCGGTAATAAGAAAACTGTGAAACCAGTGCACAATTAGGGAAAATTGTTCTGCACTCAGCACTAATGTGAGTTAGTATAGTCACATTTTCTTTGTGTTTTGATTATTTTTAAGCAGCTATTTTCTATTTGACCAAAACAAATGACAAGTTATGCCTCTCTTTACTGTTGGCAGGGATCAGTATGGTCAAAAATAGGGACACTTGAGACAATTCTTGTATAAAACTGGGACAAATCACTGGTTTTGGATAAATCTGCTGGAACAGAGGACACAGAGCTCAAAACTGGGACTGTGCTGGGTAAATAGGGACGTCTGGTCACCCTGGGCTAAAAATACATACTCTCAGACATAGATAGTAAAAGTAAAAAGTATCCACTGTAAAATCTACTTGTAAATGTATGTTTGAGTACAGTACTTTATTTATTTTTATTTATTTATTTATTTTATTTCATTCATAAAGTATAAAAAGACATCGAGAGTGTCACAACATCAGACACACAAGAAATTAATGAAAAGGAGCAGAAAGAAGAGAAATCTTATGTTATCTTCCCCCCTCCCTTTCCCTTTCAAGACAAAACATCAACACCGATGGTTACTAAACAGTCCAAATCAGTTCAGGCACAATTACTGATCAATCGCAAACAGAAATCTTCACTTTTATGCACAACAACTTAGTTTTCTTTTTCGTACATACACATTGCATTTGATTTTATGTGTTTCTTAAATGCCATCATTGTACTTAATTCTTTTATTTCTTTGTCAAGACTATTCCATAAGTTAATTCCTTTCACAGCGACTTGACTTTACTACTTTTACTTCATTATGTGCCACCACTGCATTTAAATATTCCGATTATTATTATAGTTGTGAGATTTTCAGAGAGTATTTCATTCAGTTTTTGTTTTTTCACTGTGCCAAATATTCCGCAGTGTTCCCTCCTCCAGACAGGGGGCGGTAGCGCACAAACTCACGTCGCTCGCGGCAAATTTAACACTAGAACTACAACAATGGCGGCGAGTGACTCCAAAACAAACATCCCAGAATACGAATGCGTCGATATTAACACGAAACCTTTTCACATCGACTCTTTCAGAAGCGAGTGGCTCAAGCGACTTCACCCGAGCCAATATTCTTACGAACAGCCAGACGATGACGAGTTTGATGCCCAGTTTGCCAAAGAGATGGGCATAGACGAAGGGACTATGGCTGAGCTCAAGTCCATCTGCAGGTATTCACTTTGGCACAGCTTTTACGCGTGTATTTATCGGTTTGGGTTGGATAATTTGGATCGATACGGCTGATTTTGGGTGATGGAAATGAGTTTCTAGGAGCTCGTGACATGCACCCATCATCATCGTCACCCACCCGTCACGTGCCTGTCTGGGTCTTTTAAGTCCAAAATCTCTCATTTTCCCACCACTGTTCCGGCGAATTACTACATTTTAGTTAAGACATGTGATCCAAAGCTGTTACTTGTTGAAAATTAGTTGAAACAACAATTGAAAGTGTTCAGCTGATGAGGGTGACCGAATTTTCTAAATCAAAATCTGGGACATCCCTGGTTTGTGATGGTTGGTAGTAATAAATTACATTACACAATTTTGATGACTAACAAGTGAGTCAGTGTAGTCACATTGTCTTTAAGTTTTGGTGATTTTTAAGTGGCTTTTTGTTATTTTATCTAGACAAGTGACAATTTGTGCCACTTTTTACTGTTGGTACGGATCAAATTGGTTAAAAATAAGGACACCTTTGATATTTCTTGCATAAAACTGGGACAAATCAGTGGTTTTGGATACATCTGCTGGAACAGGGGACATAGGGCTCAAAACTGGGACTGTGCTGGGTAAATAGGGAAGTCTGGTCACCTTACAGTTGATGTATTTGTAAAAAAAGACATTGCACTATGACTTTTTTGGGCAGGAATCGTCACCTGGTTTTCGTTATGTAGATGTTATTGCTTTGTCTGGTATGTTCTGGTAAGTATCGACCAACCAACTGTCCCTGGAGATGGATGATAATGTTTAATGCCATACTGTGGAACATTCTAGGCCAGGCATGTCTAGGGTGACCAGATGTCACTATTTACCCGGAACATTCCCAGTTTTAAGCACCATATCCTCTTTCCCAGCAGATTTGTCCCAGTTTTATGCAAGAAATGTCCCAGGTGTACAAATTTTTAACCAATTCGATATTTGCCAACAGTACAGAGAGGCATACATTGTCATTTGTTTAGGTAAAATACAGAAAAGCTGCTTAAAAACAACCAAAACACAAAGAAAATGTGACTATACTGACTCACATGTTATGTCATGAATGGTCTCTGCAGGACAATTTTCCTTAATTACGCTCTCATTTCACAATTTTATTATTACCAACCACCAAAAAAACTACATTGACCTCGAGTCCACAGCCTTTGATTGGTCCTTCACTGTGTTTTGATATGTGGCCCTTAGTGAAAAAAAACGTGGACCCCTGTTTTAAGCAAAGCAAAAACATCTCCACTGAAAGAATTACGACCACAAAAGTCCCATAAAGCACCTTAAACTAAAGAGACAGCTGTAACTGTTGTTTTCGTTGTTCAGTGCAAAAGTAAAGTTGACCATAGCTATTTTCCTGCTTCTTCTTTTCAGCACCGACTCTCTTCTTTGCCATCCCAGAGACGAGGAGCCGGACACCACCCTCGTGCCTGAAGGTGCAACTCTCGCCACTTTGATGTGAGTAACTTTTTCCATCAGTGATCTCAAATATGAATCAAGGGCAAATTTAATTGACCAAAATATCCAAATTCTCTTCTTTGTTTCAACAGACATCGGAAAAAGAAACAAGATTACAAACTTTCTCAGAAATGTCCAAAGAACAGACACGAGCGTTATGCAGATGAACTGGTGAGAAGTCTTTCAAAACAACATTTCATACAGACTTCCCCACCTTAGATGTTAGAAAAGGAATAATCTTCACTAGTCTGCAATTAAAATAATCAGTATCTTATTCTGATCTGACTATATAGACTCTAAAACAGGGGTGTCAAACATACGGCCCGGGGGCTGGATCTGGCTCTCGGCTGATTTTCTACTAAAATATTTTAATAATATTTTCTATTAAAATATTTTAATTATATTTTCTATTAAAATATTGGTAATTTTCTGCGCTGTTTAGCATAGCAGCATCTCCAGTGCCTCTGTGCGTGGCCCCTCCCACCAGAGCAGCACAAATGAAGACTTGTCTCTTTTCAAACGCTCTTAAAAGACGATCGTTTTGACTGTTGACCGTGACACCCTCATCAGCAAAATGTCCAAAATGAGAAAAATGGATGCCAAGTGCAGGATTTTCCAAGAAAAATTTAGTTATTCCTATTTGCTTACAAGTTAATGTAAAAAATTTGTGTTGAAATTGCATTTTTCTTAAAGTTTCAGGTTGTTCATAATATTGTAATATTTTGTAAAAGAAAGAGTTCATCAATTTAAAAAAATTCTATTTTCATGATTTGCGTTTCTCTGCACAAATATTTGAACTTATTGCTATTTTTGGGATATATATGCCTTTTTTTTCCCGGCCCCCTTTGGATCAAAGTAGGTTGGATACGGCCCCCGGACCAAAATTAGTTTTACACCCCTGCTCTAAAACATGTGTCAAAATACCTTTTAACAACAACTACACAAATGTCATGAAAGAAATAAACTAAATCTGATAACAGACTTCATAAATATTCTCTAGAAGCCTTCATTCTCTATATTTCAACCTTCATTTGGTATTTAAAAATGATCATAGAAGTAATAACTGAAAAATTATTTAGTTGCATCTCTAGACAGTAATAGTAGTGGTAGTTTTGTTAGTTTTTAATCACATAAAAATTGGCCTCTTGAAAAGTTGGTGAAATATATAATGTCTAACTTTTATCTTGTGTTTCTGAATTTTAGGACCGAGTAACAGTTGAGATGAAACCAGAGAAGACAGAAAATCTGGTCCCAGAAGGAGATGTTCTTCTAACCATAAATGTTTACTACCCTGCTGTGTTTGATAAAGTGAGTCAATGTCAGAAAATTCAGATTTCAATGCTGATGAATTAAATTTGTTATTTCCTCTCAGTTCAACTACTCCAGGCCTCATATGACTCTGCTGATGACCGGCTCGCACACACTGGCAGAGCTCAGAGACGCCATCTGCTGTGTCAGCGATTTGCAAGTGTGGGGAGTTTAGTAACAACCCTGACCTGGTTCCAGAATTTGTTAGTAAAGTGAGTATTTGTACATTGACAGAGATGGGAAGAATACTTTGAAAATGTATTTAGTTCGACTAGTTAGTTTGACTACCGTATTTTCTGGGCTATTAGGCGCTCTGGATTATAAGGCGCACTGTCATTAAATGGTCTATTTTCGAACTTTTTTCACAAATAAACCGCACTGGACTTTAAACAAAACACAACAGTTGGATGGGTCAGTGAGACTTTGTTTGTCGCGTTCACGGTGACTCTGGGCTTTGTTCAGTTGTGGCGTGTAGGGAGGGTGCTGTCTGGGACCGCTGGATTGTCGGCGTGTTCGCAGTGACTCAGTTGTTCAGTTGTGTCTAGAAGTGGCACATTGCACTTGATTTCACTGTGCTGTCGCTGTCTGCTCCGTGTGTGTTTGCGTGCGCTGCGGGTGGTACGGCTTTGTAGTTTACTGAAGTCGTGCTGGGACACCCGAGTGGATTCGTGTATGGGGTGCTCTGGATTGTGGGGCGCGGTCCCTTTTTGATGGGGTTGGAGCCTTAAGAGCGCGTGTAATAGCCTGGAAAATACGGTACTCCAAATTTAAGACTTTTTAAAGACCTTTTTAAGACCACTTAAATGAAAATTAAGACCAACATCACACCCATTATGCAGGCAAAAAAACAACAACATCCAATTCTAATAATGACCAACCAACTATATAGCTAGAATCTAAGAGCCACTGTGGATTAAACCGACACTTCCCCATGATCCATCCAACATCTTCGTCCACTCTACTGATTGTTTACTCATTGCCGCCAGCACCAGAAACCAAAGTATTCTTTGCGCAGACTCCAAATTAGACATTTAACATTGCACTGCAGCCCGGTTGTATATAAAAAAAAATATATGCTAATGAAATTTAAGACCTTTAAGAAAAAAATAAGACTTGGACAACATAATTTAAGACTTTTTAAGGCACATGAAATTTAAGACCTTTTTCAGACTTTTAAGACCCCGCGGCTACCCTGTTAGTTACACAATACTCAGTACATGCATTAAAATATATTTTGTAACACGGTCCAATCAGAGTACTATATTTTGAATACTTACAATACTTTTACATTGAGTTGCATTTAAATTATAACGTAAAAACACAACATAGGATTAAAAACATCTTAATGTTTGTTTCACCGTTTGTTCTGCATTTCCTCTCACTCACTCAAAATCACACATGCTGAATTTTCTGATGAAGTACTGTGAAGTACTACTTCAAGTGTTTCTTTGACTTTAGGAAAGCAACTATATTTTGAATACCATCCAATAAAAGTTTTTAAGTTGGTATTCTGAATAAGTGTTCTCAGTATTCAGTTACTTCAATGCTGTACATTGATATGACTTATATACATTTTTGTTTAAATCTTGTTTCTCTTTTAGGATCAGTACAAGTCGGCTTTCTTCTATTTTGAAGGGGTCTTCTACAACGACATGCGTTTTCCAGAGTGCCGGGATCTCAGCATGTAAGTCGCATTAACCACTGGCCTCTTCAACCATAAGAGGGGTTAGATATTTTGTACTTTTTTTTTTTTTTTTTGCACTTTACCGTACCCTACATTATGTAACTTTAAGTCCATAGCTGTGTGCAAAAATATCAATATATCGTATCGTTTAATGTGATGATACAGTATTGATATCGTGGGCTGCTGTATCGATACATTGCTAAGAGTATTTTTGGTACATTTTACTAAATTATTTTGTTGCAGCGCTACAGTTTTGTTGCTTGTTCAGAGGAAGGAAACTCGTTCATGCAACACATTTGACATTTTCACTGTTTTGATTATTAAAATGACTTTTAGTATCACAGGAAAAAATTTGCCATTATTTTTTATTGAACCATATGAAATATATCGTATCGAATTGAAAGCTCACTGTATCGAGATATGTATCGTATCGTGGTTTATGTATCGAGGTATGTATCGTATTGGCAAATTCTTAATGATACCCAGCCCTAGTCCATCACCTGCTTGTCTCCATGTTGAGAGATTTGTTTGTTTTAAAGTATATAGGAACTATAAATATTAATGTATACCTTGTTTTGATTCTTTCCTGGATTTAGTACAACTATTGAATGGGCAAAGACTCGAAATTTTCCAGCATTCACCCAGGGGAAGATGGAGGACACGCGGTTTGTGGATCTGAAAGTGAAAGTGGGGTTCCCGTACCTGTACTGTCACCAAGGAGACTGTGAGCACCTGGTCATCATCACAGACGTCAGGTCAGTCAGTGCGCTGTGGCTACAGTAGAATAATACAAGGCCAATCTACATGGAAATGAATACACTTACTTGACAGGAAGTTAACAAAAAATATGGTACATTATAGTATAAATGTAATTCTAGTTATTTTATTTTCTATTTCTACCAATTTCCTTGCCTGGGACCCAGAACACACACTTAATTTCTTTACAAAGGTGGGAGTCTGGTCACTGGTGAATCTCCTCATTTTCAAACGGTTTGATTGACAGGTGGATTAGGAAATCAAGGACACATGTGGTCTGTCCGTATAGGAAAAAATAAAATAAAAAATATGACAGGAGACTAAAAAACATCACGAATTTCTGCAGAAAAAACAAGCGGAGCACTAAACTCCGTTTATCTCAGATTCATTTGATTTTATTTGTAAATCATACATGACCAATGAGCAGCTCCTTCATTTCAGTGTCACTGAAAAACCAAATCTGATTTCACAATCACATTTGTCCAGGGTTGAGATGCAGCGGGGAGCATGTGAACCAAACTGACGTCATAAGAGAAATCATTCTGGATTTGCCCGGCAACCAGTTAACACATTAGCTTTAAAACTAAATGCAAAAATGTTTTTTCTTATATAACCAACATAATTAGTGTGTTTGCTACTGCACAGGAAGCTACTGTGCTTATACCTCGTATATGTTCCTCCTGATCTGAAATAATTTAGTTCGTACACTGTGGTTTATCACAAGATGTGACTTTAGCTGCGTTATCATGCACTGACACCAAATACAAAGAAATCCTCGTTTGGTGTCTCACAAGTCTGTGTGAGCGTAACCAGGGCAACCACACATGAAACGAGCATTCACACCGCTAATGTGAGACTAATCTACATCAGCTCAAAGGAGGGTTTAATCTGCTCTTAATTGTGTTGCCTCAAACTCTTCAGGCTGATGCACAAGAACGACTATCTGGACAAAAAGACCTACCCTGTGCTCATCCACAAGGATCGCATTGACACGCACAAGTGCTCAGTCTGTCACGTGTACATCAGCAGGTTTGTCAAACACACAAATGAAAATTATAAAGAAATAAAGCACTAAATGTGTTTTCTTCTTTAGGTGGCATACTTCCAATGACGAGTTTGCTCCTAGTGACCCGTGTCTCTTCTGTGACAAGTGTTTTCGAAAGCTGCACTACGACACACAAGGAAACAAGCTTGGAAACTTCCTGGCCTATCCCTATATAGACAGAGGCGCCTTTAACTAATGTCCCGTTTTACTGCTGTATGTTACAGCGTGTTCCAACTTACAAATGTTATATAGTTAAATTATTTTTTCAGTTTGATAATTTTGTTGAATGTTAAGAATATTAAAGTTTATTTTGAAAATAAAAGCACAAAGGAGTGAACTGAAAAAACAAAAAAAAATGTATCACAATAAGTAGAAGGCAGATATAATAAGACCACTTTATTCATGGAGGTTTAAACAGGTTGGACACAAAAATACTCTTATTTACAGCAAATGGGTAAAAATGATACTTAAAAATCACACATGGTTAAACCTTTGGCAACAAATGTTTTTTACTGGTTTTCAGTTCTGAATGGAATGGACATTTATTAATGGTGGTAACGGTAACCGAAGTCTGAAGTGAGTATTTTTCTCACTTTATAACAAACGTCAGAGTGACGTGGATCTACTGAAGCTTTGAGCCGCACATGGGCAGATGGTTCAAGGAGCCTAGACGTGGGCTGTTGTGGCGCTCAGGAGGATTCCTCTTGTGTCTTTAAGGCACTGCAGATACAAAAGGAAGAGTTAAAATGGGAAATTGGAAAGATAAAAACAATATCCTAGCTAATATTATTTACTTTAATTCTTATTATATAAAGGCTTAAAACAGACAGTCTGTGATCTACTGTACATCTTAAACCTGTGGCTCCACACGAGGTGGTGATAATAACTGTACACATGATGACATGAGTACCTATTGAGCTCTGCTGCTGGGACCTCCTCATTTGTCTCCTTTATGGCTTCCTTCTTCTCTTCCAGGCTCATTTCACTGTTCACAGTCTTGTCTGTGCAAAGACAGAGGCAGCCTCAGTCACACAGAGATACTACCTAAACTAACCGCCCAAAGAGAGTTACTGGACCATGTGATGACACATGCCTAGCTTCAGACCCTTCTGAATCAATTAGGATTTTCCATCCATTTGCCATGGTGTGTCCTAAAAGCAGATCTTTTAGCAGATGGCGGTGAGAGTACAGTACGAGAAACAGGATGTGGTCTCAAGATTAGTATTAGTAGAATATTAGTTCTACTAAAATTAACTAGATCTGGAGTAAGATGTCTGAAAGTACAAAGGACCCTGGTCACTACTTGAGAAAAGATATGCAAGATAAGCAACAGGTGAAAGAGCCTTTACCAGAAAAGTTACACAGAGCACCTTTAAAGATTATGGTAGTGATCACTGATCACACAATTATTTCTGACTAGTAAAATGCTGTAACTACATGCTTTTTTTTAACTAAAATTTTGTCCAAGCAATTACTGTAAATGCTTATTTATGGGGTAGTTGGTAGAAAACTCTTAGATGTTCATATTAATTCTGTCCTGACACATACACACCAGTGTTTTCTTTGCCTTGCTCTGCTTTCTTCAGTGCTCCTTTCTTTGCCTCTTCATGTTGTCTCTGTTCAGCTATAGACTTATTGAGCACTTGGTTCAGAGCACTGTCTCCTTCTCCAACTAGAAACATGCTCTTAAATTTATTATACAACATGGTCGCCTTGTCCATGATGTCTTGGCTGGCTTTGAATCGTCTGATCTGGAAGAAAAGAGACTTCATTACATCACATTACTTCATTTTTCACAGGACAATATAAATTTAAAGGGCCCATATTACACTATTTTCTCCAACTCCAGGTCTGTTTTTGAAGAGGTAACAACATTATAACATCACTCAAAGCTCACAGGGATCCATTTTGTGTAAACTAGGACCTTAAAGTCTGACCCAAGTGAGTGCGATTTGAAGTAAATTAAATAGTTTGTACCTTTTTAAGTGTTGCAATGAGTTCACAGTGTTTCTGGAGGTGCTGGGTGGTCACCTGGAGGGCACTGAGCTCATCCAAAGCATCCATGCACTTTTTCATGTCCTGCAGAATTCACATGGAGACATAATCAGTTGGCAAGTTTAGATTTTTTTTGCTGTGGCATCATGCTGGGGGTGTTCTGCATGTGTGTCTGTGGCGGAATGTTCAGTGACTACTGTGGTGACACAATGCGCACATCAACAAACACCGCCAAAAAAGTTAAACGATACAAAATGGATTTTAACAACACGTTTTCAGGACCCGGATCAATTTAGTTTGATTTTCAACAAAACGAGGAGAGTGATTATCTGAAAAACTGTAATGTGACTTAACTTTATTTGAGACAGCACAAAATCAGCTCACCTGAATCAGTTCCAACTAACTTATTTCTTTTATTACCTCAAAATGTACCACTATCACTCTTGGCTTGACAAAGGAACACTCCAGCTTACATACTAGGGTGGTCCATCAAAGAATTGTAAAAAATAAAGTTTCAGATAACCTCGACTAGAACCCTGCATAAGGTTTTGGCATCCAAAAGATGATTTAAGAAAAAAATTGGAAGAAAAAGGAGATGTTTCAGAGGTTGTTCAAGTTGCATGAAGTTTTGAAGCTCCTAAAAATGATTTGGTTTTCCTTAAGAAGCTGTCACAGTATGAAAATTCAAAATCAAGAAAGCAGCTTTAACAGCTTCCCGCCGACATCTTTGGTACTTGAGTAAAGAAATGATTGGCCAGATATTCTTCACCTCCAGTGTGACAGAAGAACAGAAGAAGCCGATGGTTCACAATATTATGGAAATGAAGGTTCAGAGGTTCCACCAAAGCGACGTGATGACCTTAATCAAGCAGATTATGAAGGGAAGCAGATCAGTGATTTTGTCAACCCCAGCACTTCGAAGCTCTTGATCTGCCAAAAACATTTTAACAATTCCCAAGTTGACTGGACTGATGATGCAGACTTTCAGAAGCTGCTAAAACTGTGCATTTCAGGAAAGTTGTCAATGATGTTGCTGAAAGGGGATGAAGCTTACTTAAAGTTTTAACTGTAGCCAAACAGAGTGAAGATCAGAAACAGGATCTACTGCAGGTGTCAACGAGCACAGGCACATATTTGTGATGACAACAAAGCCCCGGTGGTTCCTGGACTTTCTAAGCAACTTTTATGCAAATTTCAGTTTGTGTTTCCAGAATAAAATGACAAATTCGAATACACTTAATTAATATTTACTATAACAGCAAACCAAATAAATTTGCATAAAATTTGGACCAAATATTTTGGCCAGATATGGAACCAAATGCAAGCTCCTAATCTAAAATTTTTGGACCACCCCAATACATACTAATCACTAAAACCTGCATTTTTTTTCAATTTATGCAGGCATTTTTAGTTAAAGGTGAATAGTGTAACTTTTCCAATGGGGGTCCGTCACCTGCTTATTTATATGGATATGTCATTGCTCTGCCTGGAAAGGTCCACAATATGGCACTAAACATCTCTACTTTTCATTTATTCAATTAAAGGTGGTTTTACAGCGCAAAAATACCTATAAAAAAGGCATTCTGACTGTGAGCGGGGTCGCCTCTCCACAGATCTGACCTGTAACTTGGTCTAGTTTTGTCAGTTACATGCTTTCCGACATGAATAATATTAATGTGATAGTCTATTATACTTTGTGCTCCCATGTATCATTTCAAGTGCTTGATCAGAGAATACTTCGGCCACATCGGATTTCAGACAGTGGGAAAATGTCTTAACTGATCGCCGTGGGAAACAGTCATGCATTTTTAAAAAGAGCATAGGCCAGCCTTTGGAAAAAATATCAAATCTAAAACGGAGGCTGCATGGGCCCTTTGTGGTTCAATCATTTCGTCATGTAGGCGATGTGCTGAGAACCATATATGACGTGTCGGAATAGCGATACTAAAAAAGTGTTGGAAAACCGGCACGTCTAAATAGAGACACGTTGTAATGAAGAATGTCGAAATAGGCGGCAAACCCCTTTTTTGCTTTTGGTTTAGAGCCTGTGTACACGAGAACGCTTGCGAGTAAAAACGACAAAATATTTTACTAGAAGTGCCTTTTGTTTAGACGGTGATGGCGTTTTTGGGGCTTAAAAATGCAAAAATCTGAAACCACCCTCCAGAGTGGAAAAGCTGAACACACTCCGCCGTAGCGTTTCCGTCCACACTGCCCAAGACGCAAAACTCTGGTCAGATCTACTCACGTCGCATATGTGTTTAAGTCACATACATCACCACATAGCGTCACCACCGAGCCGCCTGGCATGCATACCCAATCGAATTCCAAACACTTTTGCGTCACTGTATGCACACAGATTTCCCCCTGAAAACGCTCGTCTAAACGTGGAATAAAAAGTGAAGATGTGACGCCACTTTTGAATCTTCTGTTCAGACAGTCTTCATATAAATGTAGCCTTAGTCTCCATGAAAATAGAAAGGTTTAATGCCACATGGTGAAAAAGTTACATAATGCACCTTTACGTAATCAAACCTTTATTTTGCTTTGTGTTTTTGTTAGTTTTTTCAATAGCTAATGGGCATCTAAATAAAAACTGTCACTTTTCTTCCTGGTGTCTACATCTGTACCAGACTATAAATGCATGAAGCTTTTTTCCAGACAGACTAGAGAAGACAAGACAATAGAACAAAAACAGAACTAAAACAGGTATGAAATAAGTAATAATGTAAGTAAAATGTTAAATGTGCAAATGAACCAAACAACACCCCATTAAAGCGAACGTGAATAAAAAAGTCTCGTTATCTGTGTTGAATACTCACTGGGTTGTCTATTTTCAAGGAAATCTTAATTTCACTGTGCAGTTTGTGGAGTTTTGAGTCAGTGGACAATTCTGTGAAACAGAAAAACAAATATAACACCATGATGTAAACCGCTGATTTGGGATGAGTAAGTAAATTTGAGATCTGAGCAAATGTTCTTAGGAAAAGTGTTTTATAATTCATAGTTATGCACATCACATCTCAACGTTAAGATTTTGCAGAATGAGTATCAACGGCAGTAATGTATGGAGGACCAAAAATTACATAATTGGAAATTAAATAAATACAAGTATGTAGAAAAATGTTGAAAGAAATAATTATACAAAAAAAAAAAACAACGTAAACATAAATTTTAGAATGTATGCGTTAATGTGTAAAAATATAATTTTTATTTACACATTTATATTTAAATTCATAATTTAATTTAATTCCAAAATGTATTTTTGTATTTATTTCTAATTATGTCATTTTCGGTCCTCTATATTAATGATAATTTTCTGTAAAAGCCCCAAACTTTTAATTTAAAATGTAGAAGAGCTGTTAATATAAAAGTCTAAAACTCTGCTAAATATTAAGTTAAGGCATTTTTTAAATAAAATTATGTTTTTAATGATTTCATAAGATGTTAGCAAATATTGTCCATTTCCCTCAAGAACACTCACCCTTCTTCTTTGCTCCAGCCTTTTCTTCTTTCTTGCCATCATCTTTGTTTTTTCTGATAGATTTGAGGACAAAAAATTTATTCTACACAATGTTCCAATATTTTAGTGTAATAGTGGTTCTAGAAGTAAATTTCCCACATTTGTCCCATAGATTTTCCAAAAAAAAAGTAAAGTTTGAAAGCTTCATTATCACTAACTAACGAGAGACATATTTTTTAATTTAAAATCTGTTTCTGAAACTTTATAATCCGGCAAATTATTAAAGCGTTTTAGCTGCCTTTTTGGACTTAAAACAACCGTGTTACAGATATTAGTTAGTCTGATTATTCTCTGTGATGTTTTTGAACTCTTAATATTTGAATTTTTTTTAAAGTCTAAGGGAAAAATAAATGGAAAATTCGCTTGTGAAACCAGAGCAAGTGATCACTGTTGAGCTCCATTATTTACAGCCCAAACACACTTACACTTCCTCCCCTTTCCTTCTTTTCACGTCTTTTTCTATTTCTGCGTTCTTCTTTTTGCCTTGGTTTTTCTGCAAGACAAAAAATATGCCAGAGACCTTGAAAATACCCTCATATTTTTTATTAATTTATTAGTTTGTGTATGTGTCTTTAACGAATAATGGAACTTAAAGAGGGGGGATATTTGCTTCTGTGGGTATTAACTGCAAACACATAACATTTAGATCAACATGTTACAGATTTGCCAAAAAAAAAAACCTACATGTTTTCTAAGTATCGCTTGGTTTTGACGCTCTGAATCTCTCCTCTCTTTGCTTTCTTTAGAGCACTATCTTAACTCAATCAGCGTGAATCCCACTAATGAATCTACTGCACCAGGTTTTTCAAGTTGCTGTGTGCAGATTTGTATCAGGCTTTTGTGTATTTATGGAGAATTGTCGTGTGGGAGCATGATGACGTGGGCTTGTGGCCAGAGGATTACGCAGACTCTTACAGCGAACCATGAGAAGGGTTCTTGAATAAGGCCAGGGAGAGATCACTAAAATACTCAAACATGCATGGATGACATCTAAAACCTCTTCAGGCAAATTTTTATGAGGGAACAATGTCATAACAGAATAGAAAGATAACAGAAAGCTAAATAATTGCGTAATACTCCCTGAGAAAAAGTACATGGGAAAAACATGTCTCTCTCAGAAACAAAACTACACTTCCAACTACAACTACAACTCCCACCTCTCTCTGTACATAATTAATAATGGAAAACACACATTTCCTGTGTGGACTCGTCTATAATCGTGTTAAATGTGATTAAAACATGAGTGAGCACCTCTTCATCTTCAGAGGCAGACGAGAGGCCATCTTTGGACTTCTTCCTCTTCTTGGGGTCGGGCTCCTTGGACTCTGCCTCCGTCTTTTTACCTTCATCCTTCCTCTTCCTCTTCTCGTCCTCTGCACCTTTGGATTCTGTCGTCCTCTTCCTCTTTCGGTCTGAATCTGTCTCCCTAAACACATAATGGAACCTTACTCAATTTACCAAGAATAAGACAAAAAAAACATCTCATGAAATGCAACTGGAGGCAAAGTGAAGTGAAACGTAAAGCAATTTCAATGGAAAAGTTTGGGTTAGCCACAGAACGTCACAAAGTATGAAACTTCAAGGGCGGTTTAGTAAAAGATGATAGATAAACGTGAGTAACATCAGAGCACAGTTGGAAAACATTCACAAATGTATTTGACCTTATTTGTTTATTTAAAAGTACAGTATGTAATCTTATGGAGGTGGAATGTCACCCGCATGATTCCATGGAAATACAAAGTTTAAAAGTTTAATACTTTGGAACATTCTCCTTAGAGACAGATTGACTGTAATCTTCACCTGTATGGCATCAAAGGAAGATATTTCCATTGAAACAAGCAGGAGGAGGTACACCTCATGGCCAAACAAGGTTTGTGGGACTGTACAGTATACAGACAAACGTGTTTCAGCACAATGAACACAACCAAAATGAAAACACGTGCTTTATAGGCTCAATTCACGCTTGCGTCACAAACAAGGAAGATGTTTGGAAAGATGCAATTACAACTTCCCAGGCCCAGTTTTCTTCATCTAAATGTCATTGTAGAGTTCTGTTATGTTCAGCTAATCAACAATTACAACCATACCTCAGTTTTCATCATTTCCCCACTAACACACAACTCCAAGTGCTCTGGGTACATGCGATTAGAAGAGACAAGGGCAACAAATTCAAGATGATTCCAAAGAGCACATACATATGCAGTCTTCATTTTACAGCTGATCACATTTACTTTAGTGGGTTTTATCTCAGTCAGTTTTAATAAATCCATGTTATGTGAGCCCAATGTCGGTAACAACACAGGAAGTTGTAATTGCATGTTTCCAAACATCTTCCTGGTTTGCGATGTAAGCGTGAATAGAGTCTATTTTCATCTGTTAGTCTTAAAAGTTACATAATGTAGCTTTCATGGGCTTGTTTATTATACACAGCTAACGTTTCAGTTGAAGGCAAAAAAATCATATCTAGGGTTTACTGGACCCATATTAATTCTTAATTGCGTATTTTATTACACACTAAACCACAAATACTACTGTTGGCTTTGGTTTTTTGAAGGCTCATAACATTTTTATTTTTCATTACTGGAACTTATTTGACTAAAAATACAAAATATCTCATCGTTGCCATAATAAAATTTAACAGTTTGATGTCATTTTAAGGTGTGAATAAACTGGTTTCTTCCTGTACTTACATTTCATTCCCTGATCCATGACTCTCCTGAAGGGGAAGCTGCTTGTCATTCTTGGGCTTTCTTCCTCTAAGTTTTTGATTATCTCCACCTTCAAATCAGAAAGATAAATGTACAACTGAATGTGACGGACTGTAAAATTCCCCCGATCAAAGTAAAGCCGCTCACCTGCAGAACTAACTGGACTGGCAGGCGCGTCATCCTTTTCATTTTCTATTTCATCATTCTGTGTAAAGTCAGTCAAGTCAAAACACAATCATGTACTTTAAAACAACTTACACCATACGACAATCTTACCTTTTTCTTTCGTCCTCTCTTAGTTTTAGAATCTTTCTGGGAACCACCCTGAAAAGAAAAAAAGTGTTTGGCACCATTAGAAAAACTGTGATTCAGTTCATTATTGAGCAAAACAATGTAGAAATCATTATAAGTGTGAACTAAAAACTACTTTGACCAGAATCTGAATTCTAAGCAACAGCACCATCTAGTGCACCACTGTGGTAATTCTGACACTAATCATTGCAGATCAAATGGGAAAAATATTTATCATAATTCTACAATAAAAGAAAGGAAACTGATGTACTGATTTACCTCAAAGTTCATGTCCACATTTTTGAAGCCCTGTGAGGAGACTGTATTGTGGTACTGGGCAGTACAAAAACCCACTGAATTGATAGTTATTGGAAACATTTCAGTAGCAGCGAGCAAACAAGTGCCACAGAAGCACATCTTACCTTGATCCAGCACAAAGAAAGCCATGCAATTATAAAACAGTGTCAACTAAGTGCAGTTTATATGTTATGTATGAACCCCAAAGACATGCAAAGTCATAGCTAATAGTAAAAACCTTAATAATACCTCGTGTTGTCACAATACCAATATTTAAAACGATCAGTTTTGATACAAAAGAAAAGGCTCAATACTCGATACCACAGTGAAAATAAAAACTTGCTTTTCAGTATTTATATTTTTTCCAATATATTTTCTAGTTCAGTACTAGATTTAGTTTCACTTAGTATCTGAGGATTGTTTTTGAAAACCCTAAATTAGTCAAGAATAAGCGTGTGCAAAAATATTGAAATATCGAATATATTGTACCGAATATATCGTATCATTTAATGTGCTGATACAGTATTGATATTGTGAGCAACTGTATCCAAGAGTATTTTTTGGTACATTCTACTAAATTAGTTTGTTACAGAGCTATAGTTTTGTTGCTTGTTTAGAGGAAGGAAACTCATTTATGTGACATATTTGACATTTTCAGTGTTGATTTTTAAAATGAGCATGTTTTATGAACTTTACACAATAACTTTAACCATTATTTTTAATTGAACCGCATTGAACTGATTTGAAATATATTGCATTGAATCCAAAGCTCTCTGTATCGAGATGCATATCGTATTGAGTTATGTACTGTATCAGCAACTTGATGATATCCAACCCTCCTCAAGAAGGTACTTTCATACATTTTTACATACCACCACCCCTAAAATAAATATAAGTAAGACTTAAAATAAAGCGAGGCTACAAAGTGATGCTCTGCTCAAACCACCAAGAGAAACCCACCAAGAGCCCATGCCTCCCTAAGCAGAGAGCCTAAAAATTGCCATCACCATTAAAGATTTCCCAGCATGCATTGTACGTACATCCTTACTCAGAGGACCCTGCTCTGACACCACAGAACCATCCTCCTCCTCCACTTTCTCACTCTCCTGCTCAGCGTCACTCCCTGGGACCTAAACGCACCCAAGACACAGGACGCAGTGTGGAGGGGGTTAAGTTACAAATGTTAACAGGGAAAGAATCTGCTCTGAATAAAACTTAAAGGATCCATATTACACAATTTACTGATTTGTTATAATCCTTATCAAAAACAGACCTGGAGTTGTGTTTTGTTTCATTTTTAGGCTGAGTTCATCTCTCAAAGAAAAAACACTCCACCTTGTGATGTCATGCGGTAAAAAGGTAATAAAGAAGTGCTCCACTGTGTTTTTAAACTCCATACAACTTCACAAGAATCATCTGGAGTATTTTAGACCTGGAATTGCCCTTCTCTATTGAACATGAGGTAAAAGGTTAGCTGTGGACCTGAAACCTACCACTACATGACATCACAAGGTGGAACAGAGCATTGTGAACTTTGGAGATGTAGACAGACTAATAATAAAGAATTACTCATGTGTGAAACAAAACACAACTGCGGGTATTTTTTGAGGAGGCAACAACATTCTAACATGGCTTAAAGCTCAAAAGAGTCAACTTTGCGTAATATAGGACCTTTAAAAATAATGTATGTGTTAGTTTGAGTTATATGACAAGGACAAACAATGCAGACAAGAGAAGCAAAAGCAGCTTGCATGACCAGTAGCACATTGACGCACGGGAGTTAACTTAGTCAATAGAAAATGGGGAAGAGAACTTACTTTAGATTTGGTCTCTTTGTTCTCATCTTCTTCTGCTTCTGTGCTGCTGCCAGATTCTTTTTCAGTCAAAGTTTTAGGAGGAACCGGCTTTGAAAACAAACAAACAAAAAGTATTAATTATATTATGTAAAGTTAAATTATTAGATATTATAGATAATTGTTTCTCCACCAAAAACATTTAGAGTGTGAACAATTTTTTACTAAGAGGCTTTTTCAAACTAATCTCAATACAGACTTTGATATCCCAATAATGATAAAAACTCAATTTTATAGATTAATATAACTGAAAGTTTAAAGTTTCTGTGTTGCCTTATAATTGATATTTTGCAGTAACATCATGCTGGGGGTGTTCTACGGGTATCTCTATGGTGAAATGTTCAGCAGTTATCTTGGAGACACAATGCACAAATTAGCAAACACTGTCAAAAAAGTTTTAGAAAAAATATAAAATAGTAGTTGGATGCAACACATACACAAAAAAAAATATTTGATTTGATTGATTTGTTGGCTCCAAACTGAAAAAAGTACAGAAACAAAAGGAACAGGACAAAACCTTGGGAGCAGTGAGTTCAGCTTTGGGGTTATTTTCAATCTCCCACAATCCTTCATTGAAGCCTTTTCTCTTGTTGGGTTTGGCATACTTCTCTTTGTTTGGCAGGTATGGAAAAATATCTTTTGGACCAAGGAACGCCCTGTTGAATGAAGAGTGAACCGTACAGATTAACCAAACATGTACCAGTAAATAATGAGTATATATGATGTCTAATTTACGTTTCATGAGTCCCGAAGAAAAATATGGGAAACTTCATGTTGGATGGCTTCACTGCTCCGTCAGGAACTTCATCAATCTGTAAAGAAAAAAAAGAGAATTAAAATGTTACATATACTGTACACACATTTACATTTAGCTTGAATGGTGCTTAAAGGTGCACTGTGTAACTTTTTGGTCAGGGGTCCATCACCTCCTTGTTTCTATGGATAGGTCATTACTCTGTCTGAAATGTTTCACCGCTCTAACTTTCATTTATTCAGTTACAGGTGATTTTATAGCTCAAACATGCCTACAAAAACAAGCATTGAGACTGTGAAAGGGGTCGCCTCTCCACAGATCTGACCTGTAACTTGGTCTGGTTTGGTCTCCATGAAGATAAAAAGGTTTAATACCATATGGTGAAACACTCCAGACAAAACAACAACCAGAAAAGTGACACAATGCACCCTTAAAAATAAAAATACATTTCCTTATTATTGACATGACTCATATTTCTAAAGTGAAAGACAGAAAATCTTACTCTTGCCGGCCAGTGGGGATATCCCTTCATCTTGGCAAAGATAAGGTCACCAGGTTTCCAGTCTCTGGCCATTTTTGCTTAAGATCTGAAGGATAACTGAGCACAGACAACATATTTTAGTAAACTTTGATCAGATCAACACAATATAAAGCAGAGACATCGATTACATAAGTTTAAATCATGCACAATCTAGTGTAGGAACCCTCTAGGCCTATCACGATTCATTTTGAAGCAGGATATATTGCTACAGAGAATATTGCAATAAATAATAGCATTGAACCTACTACTAATGCAGAATGATCTCAGTAAACTGGTTTTAAATATACTGTATCATTAAAAGTCATATGTTTCAACTAGGGTGACCAGATTTACAAAATAAAAAACTGTGACATCCCTGGTTTGTGGTGGTTGGTAATAATAAAATTGTGAAACGAGCACAAAATGAAGGAAAATTGTTATGCACTTGGCCCATGTGTGTCAGCACTCACATTTTCCTTGTGTTTTGATCATTTTTAAGCAGCTTTTCTGTATTTTACCTAAAGAAATGACAATTGATGCCTCTTTACTGTTGACAGGGATCAGACTGATCAAAAATAGGGACACCTGGGACTTTTCTTGTATTAAACTGTGACAAATCACTCGTTTTGGATAAATCTGCTGGGACGGGGGACACAGGGCTCAAAACTGGGACTGTCCCGGGTACATAGGGACGTCTAGTCACCCTGGTTGTAACAAATAAATAGAAAATTGGACCAAAAATTTGCTATAGAAGTTATTTATCCCACCATACACAGCTCAGATCTTTCACATCTTACACTGAAATGGCCCCTCCCCATTGCCAACCACAAGTCTCAAAGCTAAATCCTAAATGCAATCAAAAGTGAGTGAAATAATTGAGAAAAAAACATCAGAGAAGATAAAATGTTTAGATCTATGGCACTGACAAAAAAAACGCCTCCTATATTTTCCAATGACGCATCCAAAACAATAAACAAACAATCTCGCTTGTTAGCTAATGGCCTTAACGCATTACTGACACACACATGCATTCCGTTAAATCATCTTCTTGCTTGACGATGATCATATAATTACCTTTATGTGGAAAAAAGTCTTATTTTTCAGCAAAACCCCCGCTGTCTCTGCTCACTTTGGCGCACGCTTTCCGCTCCCGCGCAGGACGTCGTTGGACTGTACCATCACCCACCAAAAAGGGGTTTGATGAAGGGTAAGTAAGGAAAATACCAACTTATTTATAACCTACTGCTGCTAAAATATGACAAGCGACATTTTTGTTAGATTATCTTTGAATTCTGACGTTAAAGAAGCACACGGAACAATTTTACAAGCTGTTTTTGTTTTGTTTTTTCAAATGGCTTATTCCATAAAAAGTGGGCGTCAACTTCCACGCATGCGCTCCGTTTGTTCTGCCAAAATGGTTTAGGATTTTGATTTTATTTGATCTGATTGTTGCACAGTGGCAAAGTAAAATGGCTTTATGTTGTGTAATGTGGAAAATAGTTAAAATTATAATCTTTAAACAAATGATCTAGTCCCAAATAATCCATACTATCTAAACTTCCATGATACCAGGAAACTGTTTCTCTGGAGGCTCTATAATTAGTGTCCATTTCTGTCATAGTTGAAGACACTTTACCAGAACTATGTATTAAAATAGAGAGTGAAGTATAAAGTTCGTCCAATGCTCCTCCCACAAATTTATGATATCCAAGCTCCCACACAAGACAATTATCCATAAATATAAAAAATGCATGATACAAAACATTCATCACAGCTTCACAAACCTGATGAGATGTGCAGTAGTTTTATTAGTGAAATACAAACAGATTAAATCTCGCCACTTGCAGGTCTTCAGGTCTTGAGTCTTGGCCTGTTACAGCACCTTGATGCATTTTTTCTCCATAGATGTCTCTAAGGTTTTGTCCCTTCAGGAAGCCGCTTCAGTCTCACCTCGTTTATTATATCTGAAAATAGACAGAAACAGATTATCAGATTTTTGTGCTATAGATTGATGTAATGAGTATGTAACGATATCCATATCTCTTGGTACGATATTACCACAATATACATCTCACGGTACGATATTTATTGCAATATTTTGGAGAGGCTGATATAATTGTAGATAGGACATGTTTCTGCTTTTAAAATGCCTTGACAAGATTTTGGGGTGAATTATTTCAATCATAATCCCAAAAATTCAACTAAAAAACATATTTCTTCATGTTGTCTGCGCTGAAATGAAGCATGGGATATGTAGTTCCCTATGTTTGTTGATATATTTTGACAGCCCACGTTATTAATTGTGAGACTTTTGACAATACGGGACTACGGGACATTTTGGCTTTATATAAAGAAAACAAGTTAATTGTCTGCATCTGCAACTGGCAGGAAGTTAATGATTTTACGGAGCCCTGACTCATAATAGTTTTTTGATTTCGTACCGTCCAGCACAGATCTAGCTGCGTACTTCTTGTCCAAAGTGGAGTGAACTTCTTTCATCAGCCAGGGCAAGAAATTAGTTTCAACATCTGTAAAACAAACAAAAACAAAAGCACATACATTATTTTCTTGTTATAAATGGATGCCATTCAAACAATAATTGCTCTAGTAACATTTACTGAAGCCCACATGTGACCTTTTAGATGATCTGAAAAAATGCTAAATTGATCAGATGATTTTCAACAACAACAACGTGACTGAAAAACATTGAAACTGAAAAAACTGAAAATTATTATTGGCCAATTTTTGCTTTCCAATCAATATAAAATGTCATGTATTCTTCATCCTTATATTAACAAGTATCCAGACACTAAAATATGTAGTGTATATCTGTACATGTGCAGTGAGCCACAGACCGGTTTGCACTGTGTCCACGAAGAAGCCGTGACACCGCAGAGACTTGAAGATGGACGGGACGAGGTTGGCGAGGTGCTGCTGCGTGTATGCGCGAGCTGCGATCTTCTGAGCGATTTCCTTTTCTCTCTTCAAGACTTCCTTCTGCTGTGCGATTCTTCTCTCCTAACATCAAAACAAATCATTAAGAGGTAGGACTGTGTAGGACTGAGCTGTCAGATTAGTGCACTGGATGTTGTTTTGATGTCGCACTCTCAGATGGAGGCTTACATTTTATTTTCATACATATGTAAAAGGAAAAGTTGAATTGTTGTGAGGTTTGACTTTTTAAACTCAAGTTTCCCATAACCTCATTGGGGTTCTCCAGAAACATTTTGAAGGAACTAAACAGAACATGTAGCACTATATAATTACTGTTACAGCATTTACTCTACTTCACCTTGATAACCTCAGTAACCAAATGTGATTTTTACAGCGTGCTGCACAGATCTCTCTCGCTTCGTTCTACATGGACATTGGGCACTGTGAGCTGGTATTTATCATACTGTGGGAACTAAAATCTGTATATCTGTATTTTTCAGACTGTAAGTCGCACTTTTTTTCATGGTTTGGGTGGTCCTTCGACTTATACTTCAATGGAATTATATATTAAAATTTTCACACTGACAGCCGCGAGAGGGCGCTCTAGTCTTGTGTGTCAGTATCTGCTGCTCCTGTTCCTCCTGTACCACTGTCACTTGGCTCTAGTGCGCATGTCTCCTGCAGAATGAGCCACTGTCCTCTCTGTCTCATGTCAGTCGGTCGCACCATTACTTCTGTGCTACTGAAAATTTAACTGAGAGGACTGAACACAAATGCCCCCCCCAGCCGAAAACAGTAATCGAGCAGCAGAAAGAAAGTTGGAATGAGCGAGAAACTTGTGATGACCGGAAGGGTGCGCCAGGAAACTTTCCTGGAAGTCATTGGTTGGATCGACAAAGCCTGGACTTCAGTGACAACTGAACCCATCCTGTCGGGATTGCCTTTCAAGATGGTCTCTGATTTTATAAAATACATTTTCCCTTAAAAGTAAGACTTATAGTCCAAAAAATACGGTATTCAGTTCATGGGAAGCTCCTTTTTACAGAAAAAATCAGGTCCTAATGACAAATCTTTTATTATTACACAACAACATAGTAAAGTTCAGATATAGGTTAAAATAGGTTAAAAATAAAGTTTTGGTTAAGGTTAAGCATGTGGTGAGGTTAGGATCAGTCTCCAGAAAACAAATGTAAGTCAATGTAGTGTCCCCAAAAGCATGGAAACCCAACATGCATGTATGTAAAGTATGTGTGGTGAGACCTTCTCCTCCGTGTGCCTCCGCTCTTGCTCCTGCAGTCTCTGAACTTCACACAGATGAGCGTTTCGTTTTTCCTCAAAATCTCTCTGCTGAGCGCGCAGAGAGGCCAGCTCCTCCTCCTCCATCACCTCCAACAGAGACTGCTCCATAACTTTTCCCACCAGCACCTCCAGGAGGCCCTGCACCTCCCGGTCAAAATCAAATAGCTGAGGAGCAACACAAAGAGTTTGATCAGTGAGGTTTGGTTCATATGGATTCATATGTATGTTCATGATGAGATGAGAAGCTGTTACGGCCCCAGGGCTCCAGTTTGTTCACTTGTTTTGTGTGTGTTTTAATTTCTTTTTTGTCCCTGTGGATTCCTGTTGTGAGAGCCCTGGTCCCTGCTGGTGGGGCACTTCTACACCAGGCCAGTCCTGCCTCACCTCTAACCTCCTTCCCCGTTTAAGAAGATTCTCCACACCTGATCGGGGCTGCTGGTCTTGGTAGCCAGTCTGCCATTTTGTGTGTGTCTCTTTCATATCAGTCACTTGTTTTTGGACTAGTATATGTCTAACTTTGTTTGTGTTGAGACACTTGGTTAGTTTAGTTCTGTTTTGTCAATTCTGTTGGTGGGTTTATATGGTTTTGCTTTGGACACTTGTGATTTAGTTTTGTTGTGTGTCCCTTAGTTTAATCACTCGTTTTTATATAGACCTGCGTGACCCGTTTTTTGGCACAAAACTCGTATGTTAATCCTGTTATGTTATTTCTTAATTTAGGTTATTTTCTGTACATATTTTAGCCTGTTTTGTTAAGTTACCCTTTTACACTCCTGTTAATTAAACATTACTTAATTTATTTCATTCTCCACCTTGTTTTTTTGTTACTTCCCTGACCATAGTGAGCTGGGTCGTAACAGATGCACAGACATTTTATTACTGGGGAAATGATGTTCAGTCCCCTGCACAGGGGGCCTTTTATTCTGTCACTGTGGAGTCTTTGTCTGAAAGAGTATCTCCATCAACAAAATCATAATGCTGAATGTTTTGAGTGTGAAATTACCTCTCCTTCCTGGATTTGAGTTTCCGCATCCACCCCAGATTTGGCAGGGACAAATAGAGGAGTGACCGGTCTGTCCAGAAAGGAGTCTGTCTGACACTGGACATCACTCTCCATCACTGTGTTACTCAGCTCCTCCAGGTACAGCTCTGAAGACACAAAGCAAAGCACAAATATACACAGATATCACTTGTCCAGTATTTGCACTTTTCAGCATATCGGCTGTGGGCCTCGAATCTCCAACAGAGGCCACTGTTTTGTTTTGGTTTATGCATAAAGCTTTAAATGAGCACTTTACTACACAGAGACCACTGGACAAAATATAACAAAACTGCTCTCTTATTAAGTTTGTAGTAAAACAAGGGCCTGGATGTCTTTGTATTAAATTCAAATTCAAATGGGATATAACTTATTTTCCATTTTGAAATGTTTTGAAACAGGACTTCAGCACACAAAACAATCACAACTGAATTGATTTCTTTTTTTTCCCATTTGACTGCTGCTCAGTCTGAATGTTAGGAGAATTAGAATTATGACAGTACATTAAGTCGCTAAGATTGCCAACAGAAAAAAATGGTGGGGTAAAAATTAAGTGGTAAGAAAGAATTAAGTTTGCCCTTAGTGTCATAATAAAGTTTTGTGTTAAATTTCAGACTCTGCAAGCACCATGCTGTGTTAAACCGGTCTCCACTTCTTCTCTGGTGTAAGTTGGAGTAGTGCTGCGTACCAGTCTGGACGTCCGTGTGCTGCCGGCCCTGCAGAGGCTCTGGAGTCCTCACTCGGACCTGATCACGAGCTCTTCTCCGGGCCACAGCTTTCCTCCTTTGCTCCTGCAGCCTCTGCATCTCTGCCAACTCCGCTTGTGTGGTCTGAAAACCGCACATAGGTTCAGTTGACTTTTCACATCTTGTACAAGCAGAAGATTTGATACTATTTTAAAGGCCCCATAATACGCTATTTTATGATTTATGTTATAATGTTGTACATGGAGTTGTGTTTTGTTTCATCCTCACATGTTTATCCTGCATATTTAAGCTCAGTTCTTCTCTCAAACAGAAAACACTCTGTTCCACCTTGTGATGTAATGTGGAAATTACAATAAGTGCTCTACTGTATTTCAAAACTCCATATACCTTCACTAAAATCATGTGGATAATTCCAGACCTGGAATTGCCAGTCTCTACTGAACTAAAGGTAAAAGGAGCTGTTAACTTGAAAACAGCTTCACAGCATCACAAGGTGGAACACAGCATTTTGAGCTTTGGAGATGTAGACAGTGTTTATTCATAAAATCCCTCAGTTGTCCAGGTAGGATCCATGGCAAAGGATAAATTAATTTCTGTAAACTGGACATTTATTTTTTTTCTAATACGTTTTCTCATACGTTTCACAGCTCACTAACAAAATGTTTTGAATGAGGCAACAGCATTCTAACATTTCTTGAAACTCAGAGTTAATTTAGCATAATATAAGACCTTTAATATGTAAAATAGAGGTGGTGATATATAAACAAAATGAGTGACAATCATTGTTTTGATGACATCCAAAATTAGAACATCAAGTAGACTATGGCTATGGGCAAAGGCTGTTTTTAAAAGGCAGCATCATGATGTGTGTGCACTCACAGTGGGCAGGATGCGCTGGGCATAGGTGTTCCCTCTGACCACGCGGCGGTCGTACATGATGTTTCCATAGTGAGGCCTGCAGTGAAAAAACTGTTATGCTGGAATGTTAAATGTAATGGCATTAAACCTATGTCTGCCTGTCTTCAAATCACAGCTGTATTTAAAAGCAGAAAAACGCCACAGATCTGACCTGTAACTCCGCTGAGTGACTTGTCTCTATGGAGTTAAAGCTGTACTGAACTAACATTCATAGCAAAGTAATATCTCCATGGAAACAAGCAGGTGGTCAACAATCCATCAGAAAAGTAAGTCTACATCTGATACACAGTGCAGCTTTAAGTACATTGAAGGAAATAGTCTGAAATTTCCTTTTATACCTCTTCTAAAATAGCATTTGAGTTCTGGTAACAGGACACTGCAAATTTCTCTAATCTGGCCAAGATTTGAAAATTTATATCAGCTTATTCATCTCGTTTTCAATCAATAATAAAGTGCTTCACATGCAACAGATAAATTACAATACAATAATTAAAAACAACAGCAACCCCCCACCCATTGTTTCATCCATATATACAACAATTTAAACATAAACATAAAAACAAAAACATAAAGCTCCTAAAGGTTATAATAAAAATCAAAATGGAGAGCTAAAATCAATTGGAGACAAAGTAAAACAGTAATGATAATTTAATTTATAATAATAATAATAATAATAATAATAATAATAATTTAAGTTAAAACAGATAAAAGTTTCAATTAAAAGCTAAATTCAAAAGATACGTTTTGAGTTTACTTTTAAAAATCTGAACACTCGCAGCGGACCTCAGATCCTCAGGTTAACTGTTCCACAAACGGGGCCGTAAAAGCTAAAAGACGCCTCACCGTGAGTTTTAGTTTGGACTCTTGGGACAGTTAAAAGAAGACTACCTGAGGACCTGAGAGTCCGAGAGGGCTCATATGATAAAAGCAGATCAGATAAATAAATAGGACTAAGACCATTAAGAGCTTTATAAACTAATAAAAGAACTTTAAAATCTAAAATTGTCAGTTTTATTATCCACTTACTGGCTCTGAAACGGTTTAATCCTAGTCTTGAGGTAGTTTATTTTATGATAACTTGCATGAACAGATAATTTCACTACTTTTAAGTCATTTTCTGAAAGATTTAAGTGTTTATATCTTAAATTTGGGCCAAGCTTTTTGCAGTGTACCGTGCAAATGATCGTTAAGGCTATAAAAAGTGACAAACAGCTTTTAACGGTTAAGTCCTGATATCCCTAGTGTAGCTTATTTAAATTCTAACATGCAGTGGCAGCGGATCTCCTCTATGATCTCCCCTCTCTCCCCGGGTCCGGTACTTACTGCTCCGGCGGCGCTTCTCGGTATCGGCTCCTGTTCTCCACGACTCTGGGGCGGCTGGAGAAAGTATAAGTGTCGCTCGTCTCTCTCTGGGAAACAAACGCCATGTTTTACTCCTGCAGGTGACTCTTCGTGTTCAGTTGTGTCGCTGTTGTGTCTGTGGTAGGAAATGGGAAGTGACCTGTTGTTATGGCAACTGTAACCAAGCGCCAAAACTTTTATATTTAGGAGGCATGAAGACAGATCCTTTTAACAAAAGCTTTATGTCATACGTCAGGAACAACGACACAACTCCCGCTTACATCACGCACATACGTTGTAAGCGCCATTTCATAAGTAAGGGGCTATGAACAAATCAGTGTTTTCCCTGTTATGACAAATGACCAACCAAGCACTCACATCTTACGTAGACCTCAAATGGTAAAACAGGAGATGCCCACTCCACACATAGAAATGAACAGTACAGTTAACTTGTGTGAAGTAATGCTAAAACAAAATGACATTACTGAAATGTTGGTTAAACAACAAAGACTCACAAACTTACCTCAGAGAGATGTGCCAATTTTCAGTGGTGATCCTTTAGAGTTCAAACCGTTTCTTAGAGCATTTGAGTATACAATCAGCAGCAAAACTGATAATGACAGCGACAGGATTTACTATCTTGAACAGTTCACAAGAGGTGAACCTAGAGACTTAGTCAGAAGTTGCCAGCACATGAGCCCCCAGCTTGGGTACAAAGAGGCAATAAAGCTTTTACACTATCACTATGGCAACGAAATCAAAATAGCGACAGCTTACCTGAATAGAGCTGTAAACTGGTCACAGGTTAAAGCAGACGATGCCAGAGCTCTTCATAGCTACTCTCTCTTTTTGACTGGTTGTAACAATGCAATGCAGGACATTAACCACCTAGAGGAGCTAGACAACCCAACTAACCTTAGAGTCATAGTTTCTAAGTTACCTTATAAAATGAGAGAAATGTGGAGAGTGTCTGCTTTTGACATCCAAGAAACTTCTGGAAGGCGAGCAAAGTTCTCAGATCTGGTTAGATTTGTGAACAGACAAGCTAAAATAGCTTCAGATCCTTTGTTTGGTAACATTAAAGATGATGACAAAATCAAACAAAGCTCAAAACCAAACAAGACATTTAGACCAAGGGGCAGTGCATTTGCTACCAGTGTGACACCTACAATAAGGGAGAAGTTACCAGATAATAACAAAGGCAACTTGCGTCAAGCAGTTGATGCGTTTCAGAAACCATGCCTTTACTGTGAGAAAAACCACACACTCGCAGATTGTCAGAAAATAAGAAAACTGCCTCAAAAGGAAAGAGTAGAGTTTCTTAAGGGAAAGGGACTCTGCTTTTCATGTTTGACACAAGGACATTTGAGTAAAGATTGTAAAAAACGAATCCAATGCGACTACTGCTCCAAGAGACATCCAAGTATGCTTCATTACGATAAAAAAGAGGATGTAGCAGTAGATAACAAACCCACCAATGACTCTGAAAACTCTGACACTGAAGTCACCAGTCCCATCCCAATCACAGGTGGTACATGTGGTGCCACCGGGGCCGGTAATAGCAATAGTGTTTTAGCTATTGTGCCAGTTCTTGTCAAGCTTAAGAAAAACAACAAAACCATAGAGACTTATGCATTCTTGGACAATGGCAGTGAAGCAACATTCTGCTCAGAGAAACTTATGAGACAACTAGGCATAGAAGGAAAGAAAACACGAATCCTTCTTCGCACTATGGGTCAAAAAAGGGTAGAGCCCAGTTACATTGTTGCAGGCTTAGAGGTTTGTGGTGTAAAAGAGAATGTGTACATTGACTTACCTGATACGTACACACACAAGGACATTCCAGTATCAAGAGGGAGCATCCCTGTTCAGTCAGACTTAAAAAGGTGGTCACATTTGCATGGTGTACAACTGCCTGAGATAGATGCAGATGTTGGACTTTTGATTGGAACAAATGCTCACAAGGCAATGGAACCTTGGGAGGTCTCCACTTCTTCTCTGGTGTAAGTTGGAGTAGTGCTGCGTACCAGTCTGGACGTCCGTGTGCTGCCGGCCCTGCAGAGGCTCTGGAGTCCTCACTCGGACCTGATCACGAGCTCTTCTCCGGGCCACAGCTTTCCTCCTTTGCTCCTGCAGCCTCTGCATCTCTGCCAACTCCGCTTGTGTGGTCTGAAAACCGCACATAGGTTCAGTTGACTTTTCACATCTTGTACAAGCAGAAGATTTGATACTATTTTAAAGGCCCCATAATACGCTATTTTATGATTTATGTTATAATGTTGTACATGGAGTTGTGTTTTGTTTCATCCTCACATGTTTATCCTGCATATTTAAGCTCAGTTCTTCTCTCAAACAGAAAACACTCTGTTCCACCTTGTGATGTAATGTGGAAATTACAATAAGTGCTCTACTGTATTTCAAAACTCCATATACCTTCACTAAAATCATGTGGATAATTTCAGACCTGGAATTGCCAGTCTCTACTGAACTAAAGGTAAAAGGAGCTGTTAACTTGAAAACAGCTTCACAGCACCACAAGGTGGAACACAGCATTTTGAGCTTTGGAGATGTAGACAGTGTTTATTCATAAAATCCCTCAGTTGTCCAGGTAGGATCCATGGCAAAGGATAAATTAATTTCTGTAAACTGGATATTTATTTTTTTTTCTAATACGTTTTCTCATACGTTTCACAGCTCACTAACAAAATGTTTTGAATGAGGCAACAGCATTCTAACATTTCTTGAAACTCAGAGTTAATTTAGCATAATATAAGACCTTTAATATGTAAAATAGAGGTGGTGATATATAAACAAAATGAGTGACAATCATTGTTTTGATGACATCCAAAATTAGAACATCAAGTAGACTATGGCTATGGGCAAAGGCTGTTTTTAAAAGGCAGCATCATGATGTGTGTGCACTCACAGTGGGCAGGATGCGCTGGGCATAGGTGTTCCCTCTGACCACGCGGCGGTCGTACATGATGTTTCCATAGTGAGGCCTGCAGTGAAAAAACTGTTATGCTGGAATGTTAAATGTAATGGCATTAAACCTATGTCTGCCTGTCTTCAAATCACAGCTGTATTTAAAAGCAGAAAAACGCCACAGATCTGACCTGTAACTCCGCTGAGTGACTTGTCTCTATGGAGTTAAAGCTGTACTGAACTAACATTCATAGCAAAGTAATATCTCCATGGAAACAAGCAGGTGGTCAACAATCCATCAGAAAAGTAAGTCTACATCTGATACACAGTGCAGCTTTAAGTACATTGAAGGAAATAGTCTGAAATTTCCTTTTATACCTCTTCTAAAATAGCATTTGAGTTCTGGTAACAGGACACTGCAAATTTCTCTAATCTGGCCAAGATTTGAAAATTTATATCAGCTTATTCATCTCGTTTTCAATCAATAATAAAGTGCTTCACATGCAACAGATAAATTACAATACAATAATTAAAAACAACAGCAACTCCACCCCCCATTGTTTCATCCATATATACAACAATTTAAACATAAACATAAAACAAAAAACATAAAGCTCCTAAAGGTTATAATAAAAATCAAAATGGAGAGCTAAAATCAATTGGAGACAAAGTAAAACAGTAATGATAATTGAATTTATAATAATGATAATAATAATAATAATAATAATAATAATAATAATTCAAGTTAAAACAGATAAAAGTTTCAATTAAAAGCTAAATTCAAAAGATACGTTTTGAGTTTACTTTTAAAAATCTGAACACTCGCAGCGGACCTCAGATCCTCATGTTAACTGTTCCACAAACGGGGCCGTAAAAGCTAAAAGACGCCTCACCGTGAGTTTTAGTTTGGACTCTTGGGACAGTTAAAAGAAGACTACCTGAGGACCTGAGAGTCCGAGAGGGCTCATATGATAAAAGCAGATCAGATAAATAAATAGGACTAAGAGCATTAAGAGCTTTATAAACTAATAAAAGAACTTTAAAATCTAAAATTGTCAGTTTTATTATCCACTTACTGGCTCTGAAACGGTTTAATCCTAGTCTTGAGGTAGTTTATTTTATGATAACTTGCATGAACAGATAATTTCACTACTTTTAAGTCATTTTCTGAAAGATTTAAGTGTTTATATCTTAAATTTGGGCCAAGCTTTTTGCAGTGTACCGTGCAAATGATCGTTAAGGCTATAAAAAGTGACAAACAGCTTTTAACGGTTAAGTCCTGATATCCCTAGTGTAGCTTATTTAAATTATAACATGCAGTGGCAGCGGATCTCCTCTATGATCTCCCCTCTCTCCCCGGGTCCGGTACTTACTGCTCCGGCGGCGCTTCTCGGTATCGGCTCCTGTTCTCCACGACTCTGGGGCGGCTGGAGAAAGTATAAGTGTCGCTCGTCTCTCTCTGGGAAACAAACGCCATGTTTTACTCCTGCAGGTGACTCTTCGTGTTCAGTTGTGTCGCTGTTGTGTCTGTGGTAGGAAATGGGAAGTGACCTGTTGTTATTTAGGAGGCATGAAGACAGATCCTTTTAACAAAAGCTTTATGTCATACGTCAGGAACAACGACACAACTCCCGCTCACATCACGCACATACGTTGTAAGCGCCATTTCATAAGATTACATATTTCAATATAATTAACAGTTCATAATGATTCATTTGTATTTTTGTTTAAAAAGCAATTTAATATGTTTAAGTGAATGATTTATGTTTGACTCAAAGGAAAGAAGTGCATATCTGTTTTAGTTTTTATGTAATTGCAAGTGAAGAAATGTTGTTCTTGAACTTGTTAACAATAAAGAAAACAGATGGCTGGAGCAACACGGTCGTTTTACCGTGCTGCAACGACATCAAGTTGTAAACGCGTAAGACAGGCTCATTAGTCATCTTTCTTTATGAAGAGGTTAAATTAGTAACAAGGAGAAAACGAGTCAAAGATTAGCCTCTATATTTAGTAAAACGACCTGGCTCAACGAGGGAACGAGCCTGGGAGGAGCCCACCATCGCGGCAAAAAAAAAAAAAAAAAGGAACTTTACCAAAGAACAGAACAGCTACTGGTAACTTGCAAAATGAGCCAACGAAGAAATATAAGACAACAGGAATGTTGTAGTCTTTGCTAGATGGCACTCCAGAAGAAAGCTAAGTATGCTTTGTGTCATAGACTACTCTATTTGAACTGCTGTTGAATTCTATCGGACATCGCAAGGCAAATTAAACAAAATGGCGGACAACGAGACGCAAGAAACCGGAGAAGAGGAAATTGGGTGCAGTACCGAAGACGTCCAAAAGAGGGCGCCAAAGTACACAGAAAAAGGCCTAGACGACCAATTGCACAGACGAATGAACGCAAGAAGAGCAAAGCTTGCTCAATTGACTGCTAAACTTAAAAAAATAAGTACTATGATGAAAACCAATGAAGATCCTGACACAGTTGAGGAACATTTGAATGAGTTTTCAAAACTCATGAGTGACTTTGACCAGTCAAATGAAAGTGTACTTCAGCTGTTGTGTGAAGAAGAAAAGGATGCTGATCAGACATATTGGTTCCTACCTAAAAGGGAACAGTACAGCAATTTCAGTTTGGAAGCTGAAAAATGGACCTTTTCCATGAGACAGCAGATACAGGACGACGTGGGACCAGATGACAGCGCGTCAATGGCGGGTGGACCAAGGAAGCAGAGACCAGCATCCTGCGCGAACGGGACCAGGGCCAGCCAGTGCAGTTCAACCACATCATCAACATCATCTGCACGTCGCAAGGAACAAGCAGAGCGAGCTGCTCTGATTGCTCAAGCAGAGAAGCTCAAAGAAAAACAAGATTTGGAGTTTGAGGAGCTGAGGTTAAAGGCCAAGAAGGAGCAGCTTGAAATGGAAACTCAGATTGCTGCTTCTACAGCAAAGATAAAGGTATTAGAGGCATATGAGTATGAGGAAAGTGAAAATAAAAGTTTAACTGGCCTGCGTGCTAACTCAGTAAGGGGCTATGAACAAATCAGTGTTTTCCCTGTTATGACAAATGACCAACCAAGCACTCACATCTTACGTAGACCTCAAATGGTAAAACAGGAGATGCCCACTCCACACATAGAAATGAACAGTACAGTTAACTTGTGTGAAGTAATGCTAAAACAAAATGACATTACTGAAATGTTGGTTAAACAACAAAGACTCACAAACTTACCTCAGAGAGATGTGCCAATTTTCAGTGGTGATCCTTTAGAGTTCAAACCGTTTCTTAGAGCATTTGAGTATACAATCAGCAGCAAAACTGATAATGACAGCGACAGGATTTACTATCTTGAACAGTTCACAAGAGGTGAACCTAGAGACTTAGTCAGAAGTTGCCAGCACATGAGCCCCCAGCTTGGGTACAAAGAGGCAATGAAGCTTTTACACTATCACTATGGCAACGAAATCAAAATAGCGACAGCTTACCTGAATAGAGCTGTAAACTGGTCACAGGTTAAAGCAGACGATGCCAGAGCTCTTCATAGCTACTCTCTCTTTTTGACTGGTTGTAACAATGCAATGCAGGACATTAACCACCTAGAGGAGCTAGACAACCCAACTAACCTTAGAGTCATAGTTTCTAAGTTACCTTATAAAATGAGAGAAATGTGGAGAGAGTGTCTGCTTTTGACATCCAAGAAACTTCTGGAAGGCGAGCAAAGTTCTCAGATCTGGTTAGATTTGTGAACAGACAAGCTAAAATAGCTTCAGATCCTTTGTTTGGTAACATTAAAGATGATGACAAAATCAAACAAAGCTCAAAACCAAACAAGACATTTAGACCAAGGGGCAGTGCATTTGCTACCAGTGTGACACCTACAATAAGGGAGAAGTTACCAGATAATAACAAAGGCAACTTGCGTCAAGCAGTTGATGCGTTTCAGAAACCATGCCTTTACTGTGAGAAAAACCACACACTCGCAGATTGTCAGAAAATAAGAAAACTGCCTCAAAAGGAAAGAGTAGAGTTTCTTAAGGGAAAGGGACTCTGCTTTTCATGTTTGACACAAGGACATTTGAGTAAAGATTGTAAAAAACGAATCCAATGCGACTACTGCTCCAAGAGACATCCAAGTATGCTTCATTACGATAAAAAAGAGGATGTAGCAGTAGATAACAAACCCACCAATGACTCTGAAAACTCTGACACTGAAGTCACCAGTCCCATCCCAATCACAGGTGGTACATGTGGTGCCACCGGGGCCGGTAATAGCAATAGTGTTTTAGCTATTGTGCCAGTTCTTGTCAAGCTTAAGAAAAACAACAAAACCATAGAGACTTATGCATTCTTGGACAATGGCAGTGAAGCAACATTCTGCTCAGAGAAACTTATGAGACAACTAGGCATAGAAGGAAAGAAAACACGAATCCTTCTTCGCACTATGGGTCAAAAAAGGGTAGAGCCCAGTTACATTGTTGCAGGCTTAGAGGTTTGTGGTGTAAAAGAGAATGTGTACATTGACTTACCTGATACGTACACACACAAGGACATTCCAGTATCAAGAGGGAGCATCCCTGTTCAGTCAGACTTAAAAAGGTGGTCACATTTGCATGGTGTACAACTGCCTGAGATAGATGCAGATGTTGGACTTTTGATTGGAACAAATGCTCACAAGGCAATGGAACCTTGGGAAATCATCCACAGCATAGATGATGGTCCTTACGCAGTCCGAACAATTCTAGGTTGGGTAATAAATGGCCCATTGAAAAGAAATGACTCTGAAAGTGATCAATGTGCTTCTGTAAATCGCATTTCAATGTCAGAAATAGAAACACTGTGTTTGAAGCAGATCAACAATGACTTCCCAGAAAAGGCCTCTGAGGAGAGAGACGAGATGTCTCGTGAAGATACACAATTCATGAACTTTGTTAAAGACACTGTTAAAAAGGTAGATGGTCATTATTGCATTGGCCTCCCTCTCAAGAACCAATCACTCAAACTGCCAAACAACCGCTCTTTAGTTGTGCAGAGAGCAGAAAGTCTTAAAAGGAAAATGCTAAAGGACAGTAATTTACACAAGGAGTACAAAGCATTCATGTCCGATCTAATAGACAAAAAATATGCTGTACCTGTGCCACAAGAACAACTAAATCGTGATGACGGACGAGTATGGTATATACCTCATCATGGGGTGTACCACCCACAGAAAAGAAAGCTCCGTGTTGTTTTTGACTGTACAGTATCATATCAGGGCAAATCACTGAACCAGGAACTTTTACAGGGTCCTGATTTGACAAACACAGTAGTTGGAGTTTTAACTCGTTTTAGACACAACCACATTGCCTTAATGTCAGACATAGAGGCGATGTATCATCAGGTGAAAGTTCCGCCAGAGGACACTGACATGCTACGCTTTCTCTGGTGGCCAGAAGGAAACATGGATGAACCCTTGCAGGAGTTCAAAATGACTGTGCATTTGTTTGGTGCAACATCCTCACCAAGCTGTGCTAACTTTGCATTAAAGAAAACAGCAGAAGATGCTGCAGAAAATGTAGCACCCATGGCCGTGAGTGCAGTGCAGAACAACTTTTATGTAGACGATTGTCTTCTTTCTGTCTTAAATGAGGACGAGGCTTGCACCATGGTAAATGAACTGACGGGACTTTGTGCAAGTGGAGGTTTTCACCTTACAAAATGGAATAGTAATAGCAGAGTTGTTTTGGCCTCCATTTCTGAAACTGAAAAAGCATCAGAAGTCAAAGCATTAGATCTCTGCCATGACAGTCTACCTGATGAACGAGTCTTAGGAGTAAATTGGTGCATTGAAACTGACGCATTCAAAATCAAGATCACTGCAAAGCCAATGGCAGAAACTAGGCGCGGCATTCTGTCATTTGTGAGTTCAATCTATGATCCCTTAGGGTTTCTGTCCCCAGTGATTCTCCCAGCAAAAATGATCTTGCAAGAACTGTGTGGAAAGAAATTCTCTTGGGATGAGGACATACCTGCAGAACTCGCTAGGAAGTCTCAGGCTTGGATATCGGATCTTACAAAGCTACAAGGATTCACAGTTGACAGGTGTTTCAAACCAGTGGGATTTGGAAATGTTACATCTGCGCAACTGCATCATTTCGCAGATGCAAGTGAACAAGGGTACGGTGTGGTTACATATCTTCGGCTCACAAATGAGAAAGATGAAGCCCACTGTTCATTCGTAATAGGCAAGTCTAGAGTATCACCTTTGAAACAAACAACGATTCCTAGGTTGGAGCTAACAGCGGCAGCTGTAGCTGTGAAAATGGACAAGCTAATGAAAAATGAGCGTTCTCCACGACTCTGGGGCGGCTGGAGAAAGTATAAGTGTCGCTCGTCTCTCTCTGGGAAACAAACGCCATGTTTTACTCCTGCAGGTGACTCTTCGTGTTCAGTTGTGTCGCTGTTGTGTCTGTGGTAGGAAATGGGAAGTGACCTGTTGTTATGGCAACTGTAACCAAGCGCCAAAACTTTTATATTTAGGAGGCATGAAGACAGATCCTTTTAACAAAAGCTTTATGTCATACGTTAGGAACAACGACACAACTCCCGCTCACATCACGCACATACGTAATGACGTAATCCTACGGATGCCGTACTAATAATACATCACATCCTCCTTTTTAACAAGCTTTTTTTGTTTTGTTTTTTCAAATGGCTTATTCCATAAAAAGTGGGCGTCAACTTCCACGCATGCGCTCCGTTTGTTCTGCCAAAATGGTTTAGGATTTTGATTTTATTTGATCTGATTGTTGCACAGTGGCAAAGTAAAATGGCTTTATGTTGTGTAATGTGGAAAATAGTTAAAACTATAATCTTTAAACAAATGATCTAGTCCCAAATAATCCATACTATCTAAACTTCCATGATACCAGGAAACTGTTTCTCTGGAGGCTCTTTAATTAGTGTCCATTTCTGTCATAGTTGAAGACACTTTACCAGAACTATGTATTAAAATATAGAGTGAAGTATAAAGTTCGTCCAATGCTCCTCCCACAAATTTATGATATCCAAGCTCCCACACAAGACAATTATCCATAAATATAAAAAATGCATGATACAAAACATTCATCACAGCTTCACAAACCTTTTTTTTTTATTAGTGAAATACAAACAGATTAAATCTCGCCACTTGCAGGTCTTCAGGTCTTGAGTCTTGGCCTGTTACAGCACCTTGATGCATTTTTTCTCCATAGATGTCTCTAAGGGTTTGTCCCTTCAGGAAGCCGCTTCAGTCTCACCTCGTTTATTATATCTGAAAATAGACAGAAACAGATTATCAGATTTTTGTGCTATAGATTGATGTAATGAGTATGTAACGATATCCATATCTCTTGGTACGATATTACCACAATATACATCTCACGGTACGATATTTATTGCAATATTTTGGAGAGGCTGATATAATTGTAAATAGGACATGTTTCTGCTTTTAAAATGCCTTGACAAGATTTTGGGGTGAATTATTTCAATCATAATCCCAAAAATTCAACTAAAAAACATATTTCTTCATGTTGTCTGCGCTGAAATGAAGCATGGGATATGTAGTTCCCTATGTTTGTTGATATATTTTGACAGCCCACGTTATTATTGTGAGACTTTTGACAATACGGGACTACGAGACTTTTTGGCTTTATATAAAGAAAACAAGTTAATTGTCTGCATCTGCAACTGGCAGGAAGTTAATGATTTTACGGAGCCCTGACTCATAATAGTTTTTTGATTTCGTACCGTCCAGCACAGATCTAGCTGCGTATTTCTTGTCCGAAGTGGAGTGAACTTCTTTCATCAGCCAGGGCAAGAAATTAGTTTCAACATCTGTAAAACAAACAAAAACAAAAGCACATACATTATTTTCTTGTTATAAATGGATGCCATTCAAACAATAATTGCTCTAGTAACATTTACTGAAGCCCACATGTGACCTTTTAGATGATCTGAAAAAATGCTAAATTGATCAGATGATTTTCAACAACAACAACGTGACTGAAAAACATTGAAACTGAAAAAACAGAAAATTATTATTGGCCAATTTTTGCTTTCCAATCAATATAAAATGTCATGTATTCTTCATCCTTATATTAACAAGTATCCAGACACTAAAATATGTAGTGTATATCTGTACATGTGCAGTGAGCCACAGACCGGTTTGCACTGTGTCCACGAAGAAGCCGTGACACCGCAGAGACTTGAAGATGGACGGGACGAGGTTGGCGAGGTGCTGCTGCGTGTATGCGCGAGCTGCGATCTTCTGAGCGATTTCCTTTTCTCTCTTCAAGACTTCCTTCTGCTGTGTGCGATTCTTCTCTCCTAACATCAAAACAAATCATTAAGAGGTAGGACTGTGTAGGACTGAGCTGTCAGATTAGTGCACTGGATGTTGTTTTGATGTCGCACTCTCAGATGGAGGCTTACATTTTATTTTCATACATATGTAAAAGGAAAAGTTGAATTGTTGTGAGGTTTGACTTTTTAAACTCAAGTTTCCCATAACCTCATTGGGGTTCTCCAGAAACATTTTGAAGGAACTAAACAGAACATGTAGCACTATATAATTACTGTTACAGCATTTACTCTACTTCACCTTGATAACCTCAGTAACCAAATGTGATTTTTACAGCGTGCTGCACAGATCTCTCTCGCTTCGTTCTACATGGACATTGGGCACTGTGAGCTGGTATTTATCATACTGTGGGAACTAAAATCTGTATATCTGTATTTTTCAGACTGTAAGTCGCACTTTTTTTCATGGTTTGGGTGGTCCTTCGACTTATACTTCAATGGAATTATATATTAAAATTTTCACACTGACAGCCGCGAGAGGGCGCTCTAGTCTTGTGTGTCAGTATCTGCTGCTCCTGTTCCTCCTGTACCACTGTCACTTGGCTCTAGTGCGCATGTCTCCTGCAGAATGAGCCACTGTCCTCTCTGTCTCATGTCAGTCGGTCGCACCATTACTTCTGTGCTACTGAAAATTTAACTGAGAAGACTGAACACAAATGCCCCCCCCAGCCGAAAACAGTAATCGAGCAGCAGAAAGAAAGTTGGAATGAGCGAGAAACTTGTGATGACCGGAAGGGTGCGCCAGGAAACTTTCCTGGAAGTCATTGGTTGGATCGACAAAGCCTGGACTTCAGTGACAACTGAACCCATCCTGTCGGGATTGCCTTTCAAGATGGTCTCTGATTTTATAAAATACATTTTCCCTTAAAAGTAAGACTTATAGTCCAAAAAATACGGTATTCAGTTCATGGGAAGCTCCTTTTTACAGAAAAAATCAGGTCCTAATGACAAATCTTTTATTATTACACAACAACATAGTAAAGTTCAGATATAGGTTAAAATAGGTTAAAAATAAAGTTTTGGTTAAGGTTAAGCATGTGGTGAGGTTAGGATCAGTCTCCAGAAAACAAATGTAAGTCAATGTAGTGTCCCCAAAAGCATGGAAACCCAACATGCATGTATGTAAAGTATGTGTGGTGAGACCTTCTCCTCCGTGTGCCTCCGCTCTTGCTCCTGCAGTCTCTGAACTTCACACAGATGAGCGTTTCGTTTTTCCTCAAAATCTCTCTGCTGAGCGCGCAGAGAGGCCAGCTCCTCCTCCTCCATCACCTCCAACAGAGACTGCTCCATAACTTTTCCCACCAGCACCTCCAGGAGGCCCTGCACCTCCCGGTCAAAATCAAATAGCTGAGGAGCAACACAAAGAGTTTGATCAGTGAGGTTTGGTTCATATGGATTCATATGTATGTTCATGATGAGATGAGAAGCTGTTACGGCCCCAGGGCTCCAGTTTGTTCACTTGTTTTGTGTGTGTGTTTTAATTTCTTTTTTGTCCCTGTGGATTCCTGTTGTGAGAGCCCTGGTCCCTGCTGGTGGGGCACTTCTACACCAGGCCAGTCCTGCCTCACCTCTAACCTCCTTCCCCGTTTAAGAAGATTCTCCACACCTGATCGGGGCTGCTGGTCTTGGTAGCCAGTCTGCCATTTTGTGTGTGTCTCTTTCATATCAGTCACTTGTTTTTGGACTAGTATATGTCTAACTTTGTTTGTGTTGAGACACTTGGTTAGTTTAGTTCTGTTTTGTCAATTCTGTTGGTGGGTTTATATGGTTTTGCTTTGGACACTTGTGATTTAGTTTTGTTGTGTGTCCCTTAGTTTAATCACTCGTTTTTATATAGACCTGCGTGACCCGTTTTTTGGCACAAAACTCGTATGTTAATCCTGTTATGTTATTTCTTAATTTAGGTTATTTTCTGTACATATTTTAGCCTGTTTTGTTAAGTTACCCTTTTACACTCCTGTTAATTAAACATTACTTAATTTATTTCATTCTCCACCTTGTTTTTTTGTTACTTCCCTGACCATAGTGAGCTGGGTCGTAACAGATGCACAGACATTTTATTACTGGGGAAATGATGTTCAGTCCCCTGCACAGGGGGCCTTTTATTCTGTCACTGTGGAGTCTTTGTCTGAAAGAGTATCTCCATCAACAAAATCATAATGCTGAATGTTTTGAGTGTGAAATTACCTCTCCTTCCTGGATTTGAGTTTCCGCATCCACCCCAGATTTGGCAGGGACAAATAGAGGAGTGACCGGTCTGTCCAGAAAGGAGTCTGTCTGACACTGGACATCACTCTCCATCACTGTGTTACTCAGCTCCTCCAGGTACAGCTCTGAAGACACAAAGCAAAGCACAAATATACACAGATATCACTTGTCCAGTATTTGCACTTTTCAGCATATCGGCTGTGGGCCTCGAATCTCCAACAGAGGCCACTGTTTTGTTTTGGTTTATGCATAAAGCTTTAAATGAGCACTTTACTACACAGAGACCACTGGACAAAATATAACAAAACTGCTCTCTTATTAAGTTTGTAGTAAAACAAGGGCCTGGATGTCTTTGTATTAAATTCAAATTCAAATGGGATATAACTTATTTTCCATTTTGAAATGTTTTGAAACAGGACTTCAGCACACAAAACAATCACAACTGAATTGATTTCTTTTTTTTCCCATTTGACTGCTGCTCAGTCTGAATGTTAGGAGAATTAGAATTATGACAGTACATTAAGTCGCTAAGATTGCCAACAGAAAAAAATGGTGGGGTAAAAAATTAAGTGGTAAGAAAGAATTAAGTTTGCCCTTAGTGTCATAATAAAGTTTTGTGTTTAAATTTCAGACTCTGCAAGCACCATGCTGTGTTAAACCGGTCTCCACTTCTTCTCTGGTGTAAGTTGGAGTAGTGCTGCGTACCAGTCTGGACGTCCGTGTGCTGCCGGCCCTGCAGAGGCTCTGGAGTCCTCACTCGGACCTGATCACGAGCTCTTCTCCGGGCCACAGCTTTCCTCCTTTGCTCCTGCAGCCTCTGCATCTCTGCCAACTCCGCTTGTGTGGTCTGAAAACCGCACATAGGTTCAGTTGACTTTTCACATCTTGTACAAGCAGAAGATTTGATACTATTTTAAAGGCCCCATAATACGCTATTTTATGATTTATGTTATAATGTTGTACATGGAGTTGTGTTTTGTTTCATCCTCACATGTTTATCCTGCATATTTAAGCTCAGTTCTTCTCTCAAACAGAAAACACTCTGTTCCACCTTGTGATGTAATGTGGAAATTACAATAAGTGCTCTACTGTATTTCAAAACTCCATATACCTTCACTAAAATCATGTGGATAATTTCCAGACCTGGAATTGCCAGTCTCTACTGAACTAAAGGTAAAAGGAGCTGTTAACTTGAAAACAGCTTCACAGCATCACAAGGTGGAACACAGCATTTTGAGCTTTGGAGATGTAGACAGTGTTTATTCATAAAATCCCTCAGTTGTCCAGGTAGGATCCATGGCAAAGGATAAATTAATTTCTGTAAACTGGACATTTATTTTTTTTCTAATACGTTTTCTCATACGTTTCACAGCTCACTAACAAAATGTTTTGAATGAGGCAACAGCATTCTAACATTTCTTGAAACTCAGAGTTAATTTAGCATAATATAAGACCTTTAATATGTAAAATAGAGGTGGTGATATATAAACAAAATGAGTGACAATCATTGTTTTGATGACATCCAAAATTAGAACATCAAGTAGACTATGGCTATGGGCAAAGGCTGTTTTTAAAAGGCAGCATCATGATGTGTGTGCACTCACAGTGGGCAGGATGCGCTGGGCATAGGTGTTCCCTCTGACCACGCGGCGGTCGTACATGATGTTTCCATAGTGAGGCCTGCAGTGAAAAAACTGTTATGCTGGAATGTTAAATGTAATGGCATTAAACCTATGTCTGCCTGTCTTCAAATCACAGCTGTATTTAAAAGCAGAAAAACGCCACAGATCTGACCTGTAACTCCGCTGAGTGACTTGTCTCTATGGAGTTAAAGCTGTACTTAACTAACATTCATAGCAAAGTAATATCTCCATGGAAACAAGCAGGTGGTCAACAATCCATCAGAAAAGTAAGTCTACATCTGATACACAGTGCAGCTTTAAGTACATTGAAGGAAATAGTCTGAAATTTCCTTTTATACCTCTTCTAAAATAGCATTTGAGTTCTGGTAACAGGACACTGCAAATTTCTCTAATCTGGCCAAGATTTGAAAATTTATATCAGCTTATTCATCTCATTCAATCAATAAAACTTTATTTGTATAGCACTTTTCATACATTTGAAATGTAGCACAAAGTGAGTTTATTTTTAAAAATCTGAACACTCGCAGCGGACCTCAGATCCTCAGGTTAACTGTTCCACAAACGGGGCCGTAAAAGCTAAAAGACGCCTCACCGTGAGTTTTAGTTTGGACTCTTGGGACAGTTAAAAGAAGACTACCTGAGGACCTGAGAGTCCGAGAGGGCTCATATGATAAAAGCAGATCAGATAAATAAATAGGACTAAGACCATTAAGAGCTTTATAAACTAATAAAAGAACTTTAAAATCTAAAATTGTCAGTTTTATTATCCACTTACTGGCTCTGAAACGGTTTAATCCTAGTCTTGAGGTAGTTTATTTTATGATAACTTGCATGAACAGATAATTTCACTACTTTTAAGTCATTTTCTGAAAGATTTAAGTGTTTATATCTTAAATTTGGGCCAAGCTTTTTGCAGTGTACCGTGCAAATGATCGTTAAGGCTATAAAAAGTGACAAACAGCTTTTAACGGTTAAGTCCTGATATCCCTAGTGTAGCTTATTTAAATTCTAACATGCAGTGGCAGCGGATCTCCTCTATGATCTCCCCTCTCTCCCCGGGTCCGGTACTTACTGCTCCGGCGGCGCTTCTCGGTATCGGCTCCCGTTCTCCACGACTCTGGGGCGGCTGGAGAAAGTATAAGTGTCGCTCGTCTCTCTCTGGGAAACAAACGCCATGTTTTACTCCTGCAGGTGACTCTTCGTGTTCAGTTGTGTCGCTGTTGTGTCTGTGGTAGGAAATGGGAAGTGACCTGTTGTTATGGCAACTGTAACCAAGCGCCAAAACTTTTATATTTAGGAGGCATGAAGACAGATCCTTTTAACAAAAGCTTTATGTCATACGTCAGGAACAACGACACAACTCCCGCTCACATCACGCACATACGTAATGACGTAATCCTACGGATGCCGTACTAATAATACATCACATCCTCCTTTTTAACAAGTTATATGTTCAAAATTAATTATTACGGTATAACTTCTTATAACGGTATAACGGGACAGGTCGCGCGCCCGTGCACACGCCTCCGTGGACCCGCGATATTTGAGTTTTTGCATAATCAGGGTGACCAGACGTGTTCATTTACTCGGGACAGTTCCAGTTTTGAGCCCTGTGTCCCCTGTGCCAGCAGATTTATTCAAAACCAGTGATTTGTCCCAGTTTTATACAAGAAATATCCCAAGTGTTCCTATTTTTGACCAATTTGATCCCTGCCAACATTAAATAAAGGCATAAACTGTCACTTGTTTAGTTAAAATACGGAAAAGCTGCTTAAAACTGACCAAAACACTAAGAAAACGTGACTTTACTGACTCACATTAGTGCCGAGTGCAGAACAATTTTCTTTAATTACGCATTCGTTTCACATTTTTATTATTAGCAACCACCACAAACCACAAACACATTTTTATTATTTTGAAAATCTAAGCATAACCAATACTTACTCTAAAAACTGAGAGGGCAGTATTGTTAAAAATCAAGACAGACTATCAATTGGTTTATTTACACTCTTAGGTTATTATAGTTGGCTCGTCTATCAGCTTGAATATTTATCAAATAGGCCCCAAAATCATTTAAATTAGGGATTATTATGTTGTATTGAGCTCAAACGAAGCCCATTTAAGATACATAACCTTTAAATAAGATTTATGAGTTAAAAAAATAAAAAATAAAGATTACATTGAATTTCACGCTCTGACTGCTCATCCTCATATGTAACAGCTCTATACTGACCTCTGGTGGCGACAAGGTGGATTTACACTGTAAATCAGTGAATGTGCTGTGTTTGTTTTAAGTCAGGGCTCAGGATGAACCTTTAGAGCAGGCCTGGGGGCAGACCAGACTGACTGAAGGTGCATAAGGGTTTCAAAAGGATGGAAAAACAACACTCTTCAATTAAATGTCATTAATTTACCTAATTACCTAAAATAAGGGTGGAAACTATTTTAAATAAGGTTGCAATGCACCCTTTTGCACCCCTGACAGATCAAGGCCTGTTTTAGAGTTTAAGAGAAGTTTAGACCTACCTTAGTAAAATAAAAATAACAAAAATCAAAATGTAGGCTTAGTGGAATATGTGACCTCTCCTACTTTTACTTTTCTAGATCTACTTTGATACTTTCCACCACAGATGCATTATACTGTATTCCTATAGGCCAGGGGTCTCCAACCTTTTTTTTTTTCCTCTGGTAAGCTACATTTACAAAACTAAAATGCCAGAGAGCAACTCATTTTAACAGTCACAAGTAATTTTGTATTTATAAGAGCCACGGCCTTAGACAGGAACAGTTAGATGTCTATAAAACATAAACAATTATTCATTTATTAGTGCAGAAATTAAAGTTAGGCACAAAAATTAACATTTTATAGTCACTCTGTTCATCAAATTTTAGTTAATTATAATTAAGAAATTCTTTGGTGAGCTACTTGGGAGTGGCTCCCGAGCTATATGTTGGAGACCTCTGCTATACGCTTTCTCCTAACAATATAAACTAAAAGTGTGTGTGAGAGTAAACCATTATGAAACATTCATCATGGCATTGTAGCAGGAGTCCTTCTTGAAGCTGTTTAGGCTCATTTACTTGGCAACAATGGCTCAGTGGTTAAAACACTCGTCCACCAACGTGGCAGTCAAAATCAGGATCATTCTAACATGGCATAAAGCTCACGAGAGACAATTTTTTGATATACAGGACCTTTAAAGTAACTCAAAGTACTTACAAAAATGTGATATGATATGAATAGTCCACTGTAACCTTCTCCACACAGTCCCACACACATATATAGTTCTACTATATATGTGTGTTTTAAAGACAGTGGAAGATGCTGATAGTTGAAGGACAGCCTCACCAGCGCAGGGTCCCACACAGGGGCTTCAGGGAGCTCCGCGGGTTCACATCGGAGGAGACAAAAGGAGAGGGGCACATCCAGAAATAACCGCCCCCCTGCCCAGCCTGCCGGGTGAGAGATCTCCGTGTTGGAGTCGTGCCAGCCTGGTGGGGTTCCTGCTCAGGTACAGCTACCGGGGAACCAGGGAGCCAGCTACACAGGGTCGACCCCAGCAGACGAAGAGTTGGCAGAGCTTCCCAACTCACTCTGTCTCCCCGGGCATCCCTTCTCCTCACTCATTTGTTAAGTCTTGTCTTTGTGTCTTGCTCCCATGCTGTGAGAGGCTACTTTATGTATGATCACACGGCTACGTCCTGGCCAACACGACAGGGACGCCAAAGGATACGCAAAGTTTTGGAGTGAAATTAGAAAATGTATTTGTCTTTGTTGGGAGTTTATTCATGGCGTTTAGCATGAAGATGGATTGTTGCCATACAGCGATAAACCATTTAAAACTAACTATTCTATCTTGTGTTCAAAGTGTTCAAAATGGCAACGTTCAGGAAGCAGGAACCCAGAAAAAAAAGTATTATTACTGTTGGTGAAATTGCATTCTGACCAAAAGAAGTGTGATAAAATGCTACACAGTTTAGGGATGTAACAATAACCGAAATATCGTGATCATATTGTCAAAAGCCTCACAATAATATCGTGGGCTGTCACAATATATCGAATTACAAAATCCTTTGCTTAAATGCATTGTTTTATAGTAGCAACAGCTTATAAACAACAGGAACTACATATCCCATGATTAATTTCAGTGCAAACAACATAAAGAATATGTTTTTACTTGAATTCTTGAGATTATGTCAAAAATAAATTCAACCAAAATCTTGTCAGGATATTTTAAAAACAAAAAAGTGTCCTATCTACAATTATATTAGCCTCTCCAAAATATCGCAATAAATATCATACAGTGAGATGCATACCGTGATAATATCGTACTGAAAGATTTGGATATTGCTACATCCCTACTAAGTATTATTATGGTTTTCCAGTATATATAAGACATGTTTGATGGTATTTGGTGTGAAACATTAGCCTAGTTACCTTATTTTATTAATTTATTAACTTATACTTTATGGTTTCATGTTATAGCAGAACATAACAAAACAAAGACAGAAATCTACAGAACAAAATGTAATTTGTGGTTCAGATAAACAGTCCCCTTTTCCCAGCAATCCTCACATTTTGCTTGTAAAATTTGCACCTTATAATAGATGTAAGTTAGCCAGGCTGGTGCCACCTAGTGCCTCCGCTCAATTGAATTTCTCTCCAGCGACTAGGTCAGAAATCAAAATACACTAGAAGGTTCACAAAAACCCTGGAAATGCGAGTTCGGGCACCAGCCAATCAAAGAAGAGCCATATATTCAGTTTTGTCAATGATTCCCGAGATCGAGGATTTAAAGCTGGAATAAAGAGAATGTTTGGTGAAGGGAAAAGACGTTATTGTTTATTATTATGTGTATGTATTATTATCTTCCTATGGGATTTGGGAAAAGCTTAATCTACCAGTTAGCCCCGTTAGCAGCGATTGGTTAAATAAAAAAAGTACCTGTCTACCGTCGAGTGAATGAATCCTAAAGCTGCGAGGTCAGACGGTTTCTACAAAGTGAAACTGGCTGATGAACCTGACTAGAATATAACAAAATGAAATATACAGAACAAATGGTCAGTTGTGGTTCAGATAAGCAGTTGCCTTTTCTCAGCAATCCTCACATTTTACTGGTTGCAACCTCATAATACATGTAAGTCTCTCCAAGATGCACATTTTTTTCAACAATCTTCCTCGAATTGTTAACTGTTGGTGGATCTTCCTTATACTATTTACATGTGATGCCTGCTAAGATTTTTTTTTATAATGAAATGGTGCTTTTTTGGCATGATGTTCCCTGTTACATGAAGTTTATTTTGTTATTAACACCCCAATAACAAGAAAATTAGATCAACCAATTTGCATTTACAAGGCCAATGCCGATTGTTTAGAATCCAAGGAACTGATGGCTGATGACCTCTATCGATATTTGTGGGCTGATATGTAGGTTTTTTTCCCCCCAAATTATCAAATTAAAATTAAGTAGAAAGTCATCCACAACCTTCTTTTACTACAAACTGTGCAGAGAGCAGAGAGCGGTGTAGTCACATTTTTGAAGTACCCTGTGTTTAAATAAAGCTTTGTGAGTATAATTTTCATGCATATTTAGACAGCTGGTTGGGCCAAACAAAATATCCGCCTCTGCTGGAGATTTATGGCCGATAGCCGATATGTTAAAAAGAGCAAATATCAGCCCGATCCTGGTCTATCTCTAATTCTTTTGATTCCAGCACCACTTTTATAAACTTAAAATGACTGCTAAGTTGTGAATGTCTTTGATGGACCTGTGTGGCTCACGTGAAAGGCACCTTCTCTGGCCTGCATGAATGATGGTGTCCTTGAGCCTCCGTGTGTGTGTGTGTGTGCGTGTTCTTACGTGTGTGTGTGTGTGTTCTTATGTGTGTGTGTCATATGGGCACAGGGATTGGCATCTTTCCTCTTACTCCTGGCAGCACTTCAGCAGCCTCAGCGATGGACGGGGCAGCCACTGGAGGATGATAAAGTGCTACCAAGACAGGTCAGTGCATTCATTAACACCAGAGAAATGTCTGTGTAAAATGAGCCTGGTTTTGCCAAGAAATGGGACATGAGAGTTGGTGTCATAAACTGGTCATATTCAAGGACCCACACTGTGCTATTTTCTAATCTACTATGTTTTGTTGTACATAGACTAATAACAAAGGGTTACTCAAATATGTCTGTGTGAATGAAACAAAAGACAATTCCAGGTATGTTTTTGGGGAGGTGACAACATTATAACAGGGCTTAATGCTCACAGCAGTGTTCCTCAGAGTGGTCATGTGATGTTGCTGTGACGTGTCACAACATAAGAACCTGATAACATAAATTATCGAAAGACCAAATTAACCTCATTGGACTATACATGTACTTAGAACTGCATTATTTAGAACTTTTTTTTTTTTTTCAACCCATCATAAAGCTCCAAGTCAAGATAATGATGTTGCTTTCACTTGAACATAGCAC